ATACAATGGAAGTTAATGATGTGAAAATAATATGTTGAACAGTATATATATATCACAACAGTTCGAGGCTACAAGTAAGTGCATTATTGAGACAGTCCAAACACCAATAAATCAGACGATAACCAAATGGCCAAACCCATTTTGAAAGGTCAGCAGACATTTAAAAGCAGAAGTGACCTGCATGTTAAATGAGTCATAAATTGGAAGCGGAGTTAATCAACCTACACACTGCAATATCAAATTCAAAAGCAATTAACTCCTTGTAATTGACGGGGACGTGATGTGCCATTTCATCCATTATAGTCAGTTATGTCTGTTCAAGTGCATTTCACTCCAACGGGAAAGACTTTAACATCCTGGTGACAGCTCAGTCACTGAACATATTTTCACTGGAATATCATGTCATTTTAAATCTTCAATCATATCATACAACCGAGACACTTGAACCAGATTGGTCAATTAGCTTTCACACAACAGATCGCTTGTCTCACCATTCCAAAGTATAGTATTAATTCCAAGCCAACACTGACACGGGTCAAAGCCGTACTGTGTCAAAGTGCTGCTGAAATTAATGATTTATTTCACTTAAGTCCACAATGAATGGATACAAGCCTGTTTGTTTATACACCATGTGAACACCCATTTTTAGCCTGCTAGCAGCTTAAGAGCTTTATGATGAGGCATGTCAGCTAACAGTATTTCCCTTTCTTTTCCTACTCTCTCTTTGCGGCGTATATAGACACCAAAAAGAAAGAAATTTGGGGAAGCTGGGTTAATCGGAACATGAGAGTACACAGGTATAGACAGAGAGAAGGAAGAAGTAAGATTTCCCCCGACAAACTAAGCGCATATCAGCAAAACTAGGAGCTGAATCTAATCAGCCCTAACTATAAGCTTTATCAAAAAGGAAGGTCTTAAGCGCACTCTTAAAAACGGATAGGGTGTCTGCCGTCCGAACACAAACTGGAAGCTGATTCCACAAATGTGGAGCTTGATAAGAAAAGGCTCTGGCTCCCATTGTACTTTTAGAGACTCTAGGAACAACCAACAACCCTGCATTATTGGAATGCAATGCCCTAGTAGGACAGTAGGGTATAATGAGTTCTTTAAGGTAAGATGGCGCCTGCCCATTAAGGGCTTTGTAGGCGACAAGAAGAATTTTAAATTCTATCCTGTGTTCTATAGGGAGCCAGTGTAAGGCAGCCAGAACAGGAGTAATGTGGTCCCTTTTCCTAACTCTGGTTAGTACACGAGCTGCAGCATTTTGAATCAGCTGAAGCTGACTTGACTGACTTCTTGGTACACCCTGATAATAAAGAGTTACAATAATCCAGCCTTGAAGTCTTCTCTTGTCCTCCATAGTATTTTGCGCTTGATCCTTTCCTCAGATTAATAGAGCAGGTCCTTCCTGGGATAGACCTCAGGCCACCTGATTGGTTTAGCCCGGTGCTAAGCCGAGGCAGTTTACAGGGCTTTGTGCCAATGGCTGGATTAGAAGACCTGTTCAAAGTGGAGAGAGCTATCATGGTCAGCTCTGTGGTGGTGGTCAAGTTAGGGATATGATAAATAAACAAGAGACAGGGGTTTTCTGTGGCTATAAAACAAACCGAGTGCACGAGGCTCATGGAGACAGAAAGGGCCGTGATGAGAGCCAGAGCAAATGTTGCAGCAGGGAATTGTTGCAGCTCGATTGTGCTTTAATATCAATCATAAAGTGCACCGTCAACCGCTCAGGCGAGGAAGGGGGAAAACCCTGTCATGAAACCTGATGGGAATTAGATGCACATCCGAGTCTCAAAGGAGAAACAACTCAGCACTGGAATGTGTGAGCAGAAACACCTTCACTGTACTGTGCTGTGGACTAAATGAAAGGCAATGCTATACATGTTTCACTTAGCCTGAGAGTGGCTAGTGCATGTCATGCGTACGTGTGATTGAATCCACTCACGCAAGAGGGATAACTGGAGGGGGGCAGCAGCTCCATCAATGGAAGTGTGTGTGCCACATTCTTCATCTTACCGGCTCTGGTAAATCTCCTCTCCCTCATTTGCAGGCTGATTCTCTGGAGTGTTGGATTGCCTCTAAACCAAAGGTGAGTTTGCCCTCATAGCTTTACATGGTGGATTCAAACCTTTGTTATGCAATCCTGTACATTTCCTCACTCAGTGAAATCATTATCGACATGTTCAAATCCTCACCACATACTAAAAACAATCACTTTGTGCAATCCTATATCTGTGTGTTTACCCCATAAACCTAATGAAGTGGCTAATGCAGTTAATTGCAGTCTCACAGCAGTGCATTGCAATTGTCTGACGAAATGGGAATCTACTGTATCTGTGCAGTTTATCAAGAGAAAGATTTCCGTAAAAAAGCCGTTGTCATTTAAGTCTGTTTTGCTTGACTTATTTTGCACTGATGTGAAAAGGGGGATACATGCGCTGACAGATGGAGAGATTTTAGATGTGGAACAAGGAAAGGTTCATGGACATACATGAACGCCGCGGGCAGAAGCAGCAGTAATGTTGTAGCATGTTGTCTCTGCCCTCTGCAGAAAAAAAGACACTGCAGTATATCTCCCCCTCCCCATTTCGCTGACCAATGATGTTTGGAGGTCAGGGGCACAGCTCTTCTACTGGTGTCAGCCACTGACACACAGCTTGTTCAATAACACTGTGGTTATAACACCTCAGAGGAAGGGAGGGGCGTATAGTTAAAAAGCAATGCATGTGCATTTAAATTTCAATACCATGCTGGAGAGAATACAGAACACAACATGGATGATGGATGAATAATTCTGATGTTGTCCTTTATCACAAACATTACATAAATGGCTCCATTATGTTCCACAATGCATATGAGATTACAGTTGTGTTAGACACACATTAAATGTCATGTTACTCTGTACAGATGTAGCCTCTACAGATAGTGGGATTTTCTATTCCTGCTTGTGATCAATGAAACCCACATGACAGCATAAAGACAACTTACTACGCTGGTGTAAATGATAGGATTACTTCACTTCATTGAAAATATACTCCGTCAGCAGCAACTGTTGTGCAATTATTGACACATTCATTGTATTTTCTTTTTTTATTTGAGCATTAGCTGATGGTATGTGCTCCTCATCACTGGCTAGTGCTCACTAAGTGCTGACTCAGGTCTCTTCTCACTAAAAGTGGTCCCCAGGGGAGACAGGACATCAATACTGAACTGGAATCAGCAGCATGGATCTACTACTGTGCTGTTAACTCTCTGCAGTGCGGCTCTGTAAAATTCAAGGAAAGATAATTCAGTGTAGTGAAATATGACAGATTCATGAAAACCTTTTTAGGGCTTTTACTTTTTGAAACTGTCGAATTGTCAACACCGGTTTAGCCCAAAGAGAAGCAAAAACATTCCTTTTTTTATTAAACAATTATAATCTTCTTTTAGTCTACAGTATAATCTGTAGACTAATAAGGCCTACTGTACATTACTTACAGGGACCATATCTTTTAAACTGCATGAACTGATTTTCTGACCACTTGGGAGCAGTAGAAACAAGCTGTTAACATTAACTTTGTATTATCCTGTACAGTTGACATGGCTGAATTGTTAGATAACAGAATATTCACACATCCACAAAAAACACAGAAACATTTCTTGGCTCTCAGCAAATGTAAGTCCAGTGTTAATAAATAAAAAAGCCCTGATTACATTTTTCTTCTCTGTTCACCCCCCTTTGGCTAAATACGCAAATATTTCTCTGGGTCATGTGGTCAAAACTGATTTAGCGATTTAGGTCTCGTTTGATGTTGCAGAGCAGCGCTGTTACCAAAGAAGGAAGAGGGAAATTCATGGGTCACATTCCTCATCCTAAAAAGAATCTCAACCTTTAACAGATTACTTTGCCTCAAAGACAGCAGGACACATTTCTACTTTTACATTATTCTCATTTCCTGTTTGAGCTGAAGCTGTGAGCCAACATAGACTACTGGAACTGAGAAGTGAAAGGCCTGTGTTAACTTGAACTTTAACACTCTTGAAAATAAAACATTAAAGTGTTTATTTCACCATTTCTTACCTCAACTTTTTTTGTTTTCTAAATACAAATATCTTGTCGTAGTTGCTGTTTGTACCCTCTTAGAGAGACCGAGAGGATTGAGACAGGATGTATATTTACTTTGTGTGAACTGATTATGTGTGCATCACCCTTTGCACCATTTTGTATCAGTGCGATTGCGTGGTGGTTAGTCTGGATTAATCCTCCTGTTGCCTCATAATGGATGTCCCTGATCTGTCAATGTAGGTCTGGTAGGATTATTTGAACCATTACTTAATTACAAGCCAGAGAAGAAGCTAAAAATCCATCAAGAGGATTACCTGCTATAACGATTAAAAAAAAGACATAATTCTGATGTTTTTCATTTTTTTTAAATAAATACTTTCCCCTAACAGGCTCATTCCTGTAGCAAGGGGATGATGGAAAGAGCTGTAATGCTGTTGATTCTGCCAGCTCTGTATAAGCAACCCCAGCTGGTTTCTCTACCGCTGATAACATCCAATAATTCCTCAGCAAGTGAATATGGGTGTGGGCAGAGAGCAAAAACACATCAATATATATCCAGTTGTTGATTATGAACCTTTTGTTGAAATTAAGATTATTGGTGATAAATTGTGTTTAATAGTGAATCGTGATTAAAGATTATGAGTTTTAGCTTTTACTGTATATTCAATATCATCATATTATTATGTAGCCTACCACAAACACCACATTTGTAAGAAATGTTTGTACAGATGAATTGGTATTGCTTCCATGATGCCCTCTACTGGCAGGCTTTAGAATATCTTGAAACTCCAATGGCGAAACGTGATATATCCCAAAAAGTTGCCAAATAAAGACGAGGGTGCTAACATCTGAGAATCTCAAGTGAGACGTGGAACAGGCTGTCCGAAACTGTCAGGACTTTATATACCGTCTGTGCACTCTCCAAGATAAAAAAAACAAACATCTTATTGTTGTGTTTTAAGTGTGTTTTTTCAATAATTTTTTTTTTTAATGTATTTTTTACCTGTAAAGTGTCTTCGAGTTTCTTGAAAAGCGCTTTATAAATTAGTTGTATATTATTATCTGGAACACAATGATCACCATGTTAAACGAGGGCCTGTTGAAGCTACCTAGAGTATGAAAAAACATCTCCCCCTACGGTAGGTCAAATCTGAACTATTTCAGCTGTTTAAAGGGGTGTCTATATCGCATAAGGTTCAGGTATTTTGTAAACTGGTGAAACATTATATAGTCCAAATTACATTTAGCTCCTACTTAATGATGCCTTTAAACATTGATGTTGGCTATGGAATATAAAATCAGGTGAAGTTTGTGGGATATTTGATGCTTTTCATGAAGCAGATTCAATTAAGGAACTTCTGGTTTTGTTAAGTATAAAGTTTGTAGTACCGTTACACAGAAGTGCTCTGTTGCTATTCATGTACAGTATTCACACCGTTAACGTTTTCTAAACACACAGTGTGATTTTTATTTTAAATGAGCAGGACATTTTCTTAAACAAATAGTAAGACATATATATAGATAATAGGAGAGAGGTTGAGACTCTGCTTTGTTCATCGCGATTTTTTTAATACACTATCGAGACTTCAGGTTTACAAAATAAATGCCTCATATCCGACAATGTGTGTATTTTCTCACAAAACACCTAATAGTGTGAAAAGTTCAAAGAGAGGTTCAAGTGACACATTCTGAGCCAGCTGGCAGATCGAGGGGACAGGCTCTCTTGAAGATGCTCTTACCCTCGGCCACCTCACTTTTCATTATTCTCGCTATTTTTTTCTGTATGCACTCTTATTTCAATACCTCCATTGTTTTATTTTTTCAACTATCTTATTCACCAGCAGTTTTATGTTTTTAAACAATATATATTTTGTCGTTTCTATGTTGGTTGATTCTCATCTTCATTCTTGATCTTCTAGTGAGCATTCTGGCAAAGTTCACATCAGCCTCCAGATATGAAACATTTCATCAGCCACAACAATGCTTATCAATCCACTCAGCAGCAGCGGCAGCACAGGAGAGGCCTGGCTTTCCAACATCAGTGAAGGGTATTGAGGTGAATGAAGTGCCAGAGTAATATTAGAAATGTGTTCCGAAGAGAGTGTCTATCAGAAATGTGTTTAGAAGACACACGTGGGAAACATGAAGAGGAATGTTGTATAACGTGCGTAAGCCGCTCTGCCTTCGCTCCATGCCCCGATAAGGAAACACGAGAGGTGCATGAGGTTATGAACTCCAAGGGTCAGATTAGATGTTTCAATATTAGGGTGGGGGTAGTAACACATCATACCGTATGTAGTGGTATCACAATGATCCCCGTACAGCAATTATTATAATTTTTAGACATGAAGATGTGAGTAGGCTACTCAAACGTAAAGCATAATGGAAACGAGTGTAGAGCCATGATAGCATCTCTGTGATGAAGGCCCATTGGTGCTATACATGACAATGCTAATTTGCTGATGATTAGCATGTATGGTATTTACCATGGTCATCAACTTAGTTTAGTCTATTAGCAAGCTAACAATTGTTTTCAGCACTGAACACAAAGAAGGACACAGGGTTTGGTCCTGATGATTGTTAGCTAGTCGAAGCAACTGAAGCTCTGTAGGTAAACTGGGTCGTCCTCTAATCACAAGGATGGCGGTTCGATTTAATAGGTAGGCCTACAGTACAGCTCTACCTGGGGGAAACCTTCATCTTCTGCGACCCACTAATGTCTCTGCCAAACGTAATGAGTTATCCTATAATTGTTTAGATATGTCAATGTTCATCTATAATCTCCTGGGGATTTTTCAAAAGCACATGCAGATCGTTGTAGGGATTTCATCTTTAATATGTTCAATTATACTCATCTAATCAAACAGACTAGTTGAAGTTATAAAAGGGGTCCATTTTGTAATTTCCATTGGCATGTCAGAGTCATTGGGTCTAAACACATTTGCTGCTTGTGATTTAGAAATTAAGTTTTATCACCTAAACTTCGCACTTCAGGAAATTGCACGAGTGAGACATCGTCAGAGAAATTAGCACTCTGGTCGCCTAAAAGCATCCTGCCCTGCTGTTGTAATTACAGTGTTAGACTCATTATACAACTACAGCCTCTGTTGGTGTGAGCTGCCTCCGAATGTTCGACAGCTGCTGACTCCTCATCTGACGGTAGAGAAAACAGCAAGGCATGCCTTTTACGGTGCTATGCAGATGTGCAGAACATTAAATATTGTCACTCATTATGAAGTAACTGACATCGTCAGCTTGGAACAATGAAAGAGTGTCATTAAAATGAAGAAAATTAGTTTATCAGGTTTATAGTATGGTATGTTTCAGTTTAAAGTGGTATTAGGTGGGCAATGTTATTGAATAATGACTCCAGGAAAACATGTTGTTTGCAAAAGTTTCGCTTCATTTATACATTTTTGGCATCTTGAGGGCATTCGCTTATTTTCTATCAGCACATAAACAGGAATTTGTAAAACAGGGATATGAATCTCTGCATATATCTATCTTCATTTTTAAATATTCATTAAAGTAATATGCATTGTCACACAGTATGCCAATGAGGTAATCACATGTGAATAGGTAAACATGAGGATTTTTGCTTGTATTAATCTTACTTCTCTATCTTGCATCTCTGCTCTTCCTCCATTGTGTCTTTTTTAAATTCTTTTAGCCTTCATCTTATCTCTTCCATCCTTGCCTCTCCTCTGTCAGCTTCCCCCAACATACAGTATTTCATCACAATGGAGTGCTGTTTCTTGTGTTAAAAAGTGAGTGGCACAGGCATTTTCACCGGGTCTCTGTGTGATTGAGAGAGCATAGTATGAAGGCAGGAGCCAGGGTGCGTGTTATTCTTTTATTTTCTGCGGTTGAATTATGGTCGCATTTGTTCATTTTATTCTAGGTGGAAATGTACCTTTAGACCAGTCAAAGAAGATTTATTTTGATAGACGTCTGACTACCAGTAATTTACGCACTACAAAAAAGGACAATTAATAATATATTAATATTCAATATTAATATATATTATTACAAAATGATCCTAAAACCATAAACAGAAGGTAAAGGGTCAACATGCACTTCAGTAACAACGTTAAACAGGGAGATGATGCAGGACTCTACATCAGCCGCCATTATATCTCTCACAGATTTGATAAGGCATTTCACCTGGTCAGCTCTTAGACATCAAAGCAAGTCTGGATTATAAGTGAAAGTGGCATGATGTCATTGCCAGACATTGTCCTCATGCACTCATAAGCCATCCACTCATTCAGCACCACTGTACCAATTTAACATTGGCCAGAAGAGTGAACCTCAGTATCAGCTGTTCCAAATGTGGATCTCTTTGGAAAGCTTCAGTGGAAAGATGTGAGCGAGTGCCACTGCTCAGATAAAAGAGTTATTTTCTCACAAGATCCATGTGCGAGCCTGCTCTCCTCATTTATTGCAGACTATTTTAAGAGAGGCAGTAGTGTATGTTAGAACTTAGATATTAGATGATTGAATAATTGTAGGCAGGATTAGGATTGGTAGCTGAGGCCATAAAAGCATAACACATGCTGATGTCACACTCATTGAGACAAGGTTCATGTTGCCATCCTAAAAGAGAAATACTATTATGGGAAATAAATATTTGGATTTGGATGGCATTCTGGCTCTGGTCCAGATGCTTTGTGTTGATTGTAATGTAGTAGTTTTTCGACCTTGGCTGGCTTCAGCGTATTCTGTATCCAAGGTCAGCTTTTGGATTGCACTCACGTCAACACTAACTTCACTTGATGGTTGTTGCACACTGGTGGCACCTCTTCTACCAATGCTTAAATGTTTGACTCTCAGAGGTGGCTGGTAAATAATTGCTTTGACTATGTTTAGTGACATGCCGAGCTATGACTTGGTGACTTTTATACTGTAGTGACACCATGAAGGAAACAATTCGTTTTTTGTGAAATGTCTCAAAGCAAGCTATTACGCAGATGACTTTGAGAGGTGTATTGATTGAAATATAAGCTCTGTTCCTCGTGTGAGATGGATGTCTGAGGAACGTTGCTGAAACACCTCCTGTGTAGACATGCCATTAGCATGTTCTGTAATGTGTTGTAAAGTCCTATAACACCAATGGACTACTGCATACCTGACATAATGTAAAGTCATCATCATGCTTGGCCATGACAGAATGGATTGCAAAGAGTATGTTTGTGGATAACATACCACTTATAAAAAGGCACCAACTTTGCAACAGAGGATTAGGAGGTTGGGCATAATATGTTGTTAGCACTCTTCAACTAATTTTTTATACCTCTATCTTAATGAGAGGAGTTGTTGTTGTCATTGGACTCCTCGCACTCAAATACACACTTTTATCATATTCTCTATAGGTTAGTGAGATTATGTGTAAACTTGTTGCTTTTTATTTCTCGCACTCACTTTCTACTTATCATCTCACTCTCATGTTCTCTCTCTATGAAGGAGAGCCTTCGATACCCGTCTCGCTTGTCTGCTCTCTCCATTCTGTTTGCTCTCTGAGTTGTGAGTTGAGTGTTTGTGTTGCACGACTGCACGCTCTCCTTATCATTACTCTCTCTTGGTTTTTTCCCCCCCAAAAAAGTCATGAACTCATTCTTACATGACATTAATGAAATCGGTGACCGCGTGACGACTGTCCTTTTACGGTGAGATGTGAGATGAGACGTTGTCGGAATAGTTACCAGCATCCGATGTACGACACACAATTACCGGTCTTGTGACTATTATTATGTCACTCCTAATCTCTCACTAGGGTGTCTGGTGTGCTCCGTCTTTATTTTTGACCGGTCGTATGGTACAAAAGTAGTTTGACAACTTCGTTTCACAACTGGAATTTATTCAATGTTCATTTAATGTCGATATTGGAACATCTTTATGCCCCTGTTAAAGAACTTTATACCGGATTGAACACAAGATTCATACGCCCATATGAATTAAAGGAACTAAGGCTTTATGCTTTTGGATTACCCGGTAAATTCGTGTATAGTAAAAGGATAGAAGTATTATATCCGATGACATTTACACGTTCGTGTGATTCATCCTATAAACCCTAAAAGACTCGTATTCCTAAATCCAATTGGTTCCTATTACATATTGATCGGATGAAATTGTAATACATCCGGATATGCATAACTTCTATCAAAACACCATCTATCTCGGATGGAGAAACAATAAGTGAAGGACATCAAAAACGTCCCTAGAGATCTTTATACAACTCCAAAACCATAATTTTATTGTCTTGTACTATTGTTCACCAATGTTTACAGCAGGATGTTGATACACTGCCGTCCATAAACCCTTTAATCAGACTTCCAATCGATCAGATGTGGTTGGTCAACACCACCTAGATGTGTCTTTTACGAAGGAACCATTGTGACGTTCACAACTTAAAAGTCAATGCCCTTGGTAGTAATACACGTTTCACTGTTCGGACATTGAGGAATTGAGACTATCACACCTAGATGTAGTCGTGACCCCGTACCACAACCAAAGCTGTTGTGTCCAAAGTTGAATTTTGCCTGTAAAATACATTCCGAATTTTGATTACACAAAGGGACATTGTTTACTTATACAAAGATTGTGACAGAAGTAATTCGTTGTCGGTTGATCTGGCACAGAACTAAAAACTACGAATTGAATCCCTTGAAAGAGGGGGAGACACAGACAGATAGACGGAGAGAGTGTAGTGTGTGAATCTCCGCGAAGTTAAAAATGCTGACCTACCATAGAGGGAAATATCGAGTTCACGACCCATCGCGACATGGTACCGTCTTTTTGTACCCGATATGTGTAAATCGTGATACAAAACGAACAAAGGTTTACGTAAGTAGGGACGACTAATACCACATCGTATATTTGGTTGTCCAGACTCTTGATTTAGATAATTACTTGAGAGGTATTTCTCTGTTTCCAGATGTTTGAACTTTACTTTTTGTTTCGGATACGATGTACTTAAGAATTTGGAACTCTCCCTTGGCAATCTCTGTACCAGATCAGGCACCTCACTATACCTTGGTCTGTGTTCGTTTCATTACTAGGGGAATAGTAGATACGTGTATACGGTGAATCCTTAGTATAGGTATGTGAATACGTTATATACTGTTTAAGTCCAGAATAGCGTTAACCTCAGGTTGAGATGATCCACAATGGACATTGTCGTGATACCAATCCTAGACGCAACGCTAATACGTTTCGATCGATGATAGTAGGTCGATTTGTCGCTTCGTTGAACGTGTCGAGTTGCATTTATAATTCCTGACTTTGGTTCTTCCATTAATTTAACTGCTTGTGTAACAAACTATCGTTTTTAATATGGTACCAAAATTAGTTATCTAAAAGGTACAAATAGCAAGATATCACTTTACATTCAGTAAGGGAGAATAATCCAGGCACCAATATTACTCTTTTTTTTTTTGCACTTTAATGACGGTACAAAATGACGGACTACGAGATGTACTCCCTTTGAAGAATGTGACCAATTGAATCCTACAGAATTCAAGCCTGTCTTTGTTTATTGATTAGGGGGGAAAATTTCGACGGTCACAATAAAACAACAAGTGTGTACGTCGGAAAGAAGGACGTTGTAATTTCAAATGTGTAAATCTGACGCAATAACTATAGACTGGAAAGATTTCACAGGTTGGATCTGGTGGTGTAGACACTCACACGGCACACCACACACGACACAACACACACACACACCACACACACACACACACACACACACCACACACAACAACACCACACACACACACTTCTGTGCCGTACGTAAACAAGTCTAAGAAAGTAGTGGTCGAGGAATACACGTGCATTTATCCTGTCNACACACAGTTGCACGGGTGCAGAATAGTTTCCCCCCACTTTCGTGAAAGACATCGGGGTACTGCTTTGCCCGGTCTTTGGAAGAAATGTTCGTCGGTAAATGAGATGGATCAGATTTTCTATCTTGGTGTTTCTCTCTCGTGTGAGTTCCACACGTTCACTGTACGGTGTTGTTTACCTTCTGTGATGCGCGAGCTGATGACGTCGTGTCATCATCATCACTACTTTACGTCAAGACGAGTTAACTTTTTTTTTTCCTCAACTTTTTGTGGAAAAATGCAGGGATTATGCGTCCTTTTGATAAATATGCGACCTTTTAAAAATCTGCGCCATTTTGCTGATTATGCGGTCAATTCTGCGATCGCAGAATCGCGTTTTTCTGGAGGGTCTATACAGTTAAACCATTGAATCCTTAATTGGAGGTATTGGCTACTTTGCAGACTTTACTCTCATCATAATGAGTAACAGTTGTGTAGGAAGAACTCAGATTGTTTAATAAAGTAAAAGTATACATTTCACACTTTAGAAATACTCTTTTAAAACACAAGGTACTGCAATCGTAAATAAATACTTAAGCACAGGTAATAAGTTTAAAAAAAACAGTACAGTATAAGCATCACAATGTACTTGAGGTACCAAAAGTAAAAATTATGCAAAGTATATCCAGATTTCGTAATAATATAATACATCTATGGAAACATTTATGTGTTCATCACTTTAGTTGTGCAAATATGAGGCTTATTATTTGTATTGCAACTACCTATGCTATATCATATTACATTATTCAGGTAAATTACCATTGATTTGGATTTAAGTACTTGAGTAAATGTATTTTACCGCTTAATTTGCAATGGCACAGACGAAGCTACCTTGCAAGTATGGCTTCCTCCACCAGCTACATTAAACATTAAACTGCTGCTCATGTGTTAAATGCAACCGCAACATTAATAATCAAATATTAGGATGCATAATAATCACAAAGGCAACACTCGGGGACCATTTTTCTGACTTCATTTAGCTGCTAATACTAACTTTGAGCACAGAACCTTTACTTGAAGTGAAGTGTTTTTACATATCTTGTCATATTGCTACTTAATTTAGTAACATATCTGAATATTGCTTCCACCACTGATGACAGTACCAATAGCAATACATAACCATTAACCACTTAGTCAAAATTATACTGCTACATTATTGGAATCATTGGGAATCAAGAAATCCAGCTAAAGAAATCTGTATATTATTTATAAGAATCAGAGAAATGCTGTGAAAGCAAATGGTAAGTGAAACCTTTCATATTTTTTCAAAGTGATGGTTGATTTATGTCAATCAACTTAATAATAAATGCAGTGAATATGACAGCACAAAAAATAAGGAGCCCTGTTCGTATGGTCTCAATGGAATGCAAATGCTCATAACAACATCAATGATTCCCCAGACCAAGCTTTCTAAGGAAACAAGAAAATGATTCTTTAGAGACACTTAGCTCATTAGGGAAAAAATGGAGGAAACCTTGAGAGGCAATTCAAAGTGTATGTGAGTGGAGTGATACCCCTTCTGCGGTTGGAAAAAAGACGATCAGCCTACTTAAAATAGGCTAACTGACTAAAAGTGAACAGTTTAGATATTCTAAACACCACTAACACCATAGCATGGCAGATGAATTTTATATTATGAGTTTATGAGTGTAACCTTCTCAAGGATTTCATATTACAAGAAAACTGAATCCTCAGAAAACCGCAAGAAAAAAATTAAGTCAACAGTAATGAAAGCAGTCAAAATTATAAAGTAGTGCTAACCCCAATTTAACACCTTTTCTAAAAATCAATATCTTTCACTATGATCTTTTTGTAAATGTTTAATGGAACATGTTTTGAAACTTGTTCAAATCAGTTGATGCTAATGGTATTTTAAGGGTTATTTTTGCATAAACAACATTTGCTTGGGTGTTATCAAATGCATGAATACAGCACAGCAACACTCAAAAGCTATGGAAACAACCTCCATGTGTGTATATTTGAAATATATTCTAATCCACATCATGACTTACCTGTGTGATGATGTATTTGATCTATTACACCAAAACAAAAAAGTACAAGAGACTAGCACACAAGAAATTGCACCCATACATTTAGCTTTGCAGCACACAAAAAAAGCCTTCAGGGGCTGGGGATTGGAGGGGGTGGGGGGTTTAAGTCTCCCTAGATGGATGCTGTCATTTACTTTGTTGTCCCCTTCCCAGAAAACAGTAAACTAAAGACAGAAATGTTTCAAATATAGATATGTTAGAGGGAAATAAACCGAGCCACTTCGCTACACAGAGAGGACGTTCTCCGTCTGTTTAGTACGATAAGAGAGAATCTTTGAAGTCAACAGCAGTTGCAAATGAAGAAACATCTTCACCAATTTGACAGCACGTGCAGCATTCTGAAAACCTTCACCAACTTGACGAAAAATGTGCAGTGTGCATAAACGAAATGCTGCAAAAAAAATAACAAAAAAGAAAACCGCTGCAAGAAGTTAACACAACAGAAACAGGGACACTAAAAAGTGATGCACACAGCTGGGACCAGAGTGCTTGTTGATCATAAAGTTTGATTATAAAGTTTGAAAACTGTAAACTTTCTATTGCAGCATTTTGTATTTGCAGCGTTTCTTTTATACAGCGCTTTTAGCAAACGCTGCGCCTGTTTCATCAAGTTGGTGAAGGTTTTTCTTCTTCAATTTCCATGTGTTTTAGCTCATTTGTGATTTTATACATTTGCATCGTTTCTGAAGCTGCAGCGCGTTTCTCCAAATGGAAATGTTTTTGACTGTTAAAGCGCGTTTGCACCTGTTGGCCAACAACCAACATTATTTGTCATCTATACAAGTCTGTGCCACAGCCCAAATGCTTTTCGTTTTCCACAAAACGACAACATTAGTACAAAAAACTGCACAACAGATACCCTGAGAACACATTTTCAGACTGTTGATATTCAAACAAGCAGATCTACTTATTCATACGTTGCTATCTATATGGCTCCTATAGGAGCCTGGCGAATGAAACTGTAACAATCAAGAATAAAGGTTTAGTTATTTACTAATTTAGCTTGTTAAAAATAACATTTTTTTTTGTTCACTTTCCTTACCCTTGTTAAGCTTCTCCTTCAACTGGGCTCTTTTGTATAGTAGATTTTCTAAAGTTTACATTGTTGCAGGAGTTTCGCTATCCAGGGATAGCTTCTATTTTGTCAAGTTGAAAGCTATTTTTTTTTGTTTCCTAGCAAAAAGCTAACCTGGTTAGCAGTGTTGAGGTGCATAGAGTATGCCGAGGGCTTTTACTGTCAAAGGGAGAATGCCAGCCGATGGCAAACACAAGTGCATCCTGAAAGCAAGTCTTTTAGGGAACAGACCTTGAAGTCGATGGTGTCATAACTCTATAGTCGTTACATTGTGCATTCAATATTCATTTAGAGAGGGGATGATACCCGGCAAATGGTCCGAGTTATAATCCTTAATAATTTTGCAATCAAACTCAGGTTTTGATACTAGTTATATACAGTAGGGTGTTAAAGTCAATGTGTCGCCTCTCGCAAATTATGTTAGTTTAGTTAAGTGTTTTTGTCTTTTTTGTCTAGTGATTTTCCCCTTTATTTTTGAATAGTAACCTTCCCCCTCGTTTCAGATACTCTGACCTCGTATTGTCATACTGATATTCTGTACAAACTGTGAAGTCCACTGAGACAAATGTAACATTTGTGATATTGGGCTATATAAATAAACATTGATTGATTGATTGATTGATTGATTGACCTCCCTTCCTTGTGTGTCTCCCACTCCTGTGATTGTCGACCCTGCCCCTGATTGTTTCCACCTGTTCCCCATTACCTAGTGTATTTATTGTCCTCGTCTCCCTTTGTCCTGTGCCAGTTTGTTTCGTTTCTTGCGACAATCTAGCAGCGTATCATGCGTCTTGTCTGAGTATTTTGTTATTCATGCTCCTAGTGTGTTTCCTCATTGAAGTGATTTTGTTTTGTTTGTGTTTTTCCTCATTAAGAGTGATTTCGTTTTTTATACCATTGTAGTATAAAAAAAGTTTGAATAAACCTTTTTTTGTTAAAACCTGTGTGAGTCGTGCATTTGAGTTCAAACACGTTTATTCAGTCGTAACACAATGTTAGTGACTGACTCTGCCTCTTACATTGAACATTGAAGTCTTTTGTCAGGCACATGCTTTCGAGCCAATTGGAGACCTAGTTACACGTATACACAGCCATGAAATCAGTGTTCTCGCACAAAAAATGAGGTTTCTCTAATCCCTGACCTCAATTGCAGAAAACATGTGTCTCGTTTACAGAATCCATTTACTGAATAAAGCCTGCTGTAACCCTAACATGCATGTGAACACACTGCATGTGTCTTTTCAGAGCAAGGACCTGGTAATTCACATATATATGAAGAAATCTGGACATATGTAAAAAGATGATCTCAATTATGCTTTTTTGAGAAACAATGTTGGGAAACAAAGACAAATAAAAGACACATCTTTCTCTGATATGCTCTCAAATACCAGTGCAGATGGATTCTGCATCAGATAAAAGATCCTTCATTGCAGTTTACAGTGACTGTGCGTCTTCCCCTCCAGCTCAAGCAGGCCGACGATCCCTCTTATTCCAAACCTAGCAATCACTGTCGCAGTCAAAACATCTTTTCATCTCCGAGTCTAAGTAACCGCCTGCCTCTTCCACATCTAACATTTACAGCGTAATGCTCTCACTGCTCAAGTACCTTGTTTTTTTTTGTTGAGGCAAACCAAACAACCGCCTATTTTGATGTGGAAAATAAAAGAAAGCAACCCCAGAACTCACTCCAACCTTTACTATTCATTCCACTGACAATTGAAACACGACTGCAGTAGGAAGGCTTGCCTGCCTCCAAAAGCTTCCCCATGATGCCTTCACCATTTTGCTGTGTGGCGGACCCGGTCGCCCACCTCTCCATTATCACCTCATTAGCGTGCTGTAAACTGGCCCACCCTCCAGTTTGGCTCTAGCCTCAATCAGCCCATTAATCACAGAAGAGCAGGGAGACCTTCTGTCTTCGAAGGCTCACAATGTATTCTGCAGGCCCCTGCTGTGTGTGTGTGTCTGTGTGTGTGTGATAGAGAGTGCATTGGCATGTTGTTGCATACAAATGATTCAGCTACATCCTGCCATCTGTTGACTGCTGGAAGTAACTACCTCTGCACTGACACACACAAGTACATGATGCTTCCTGAATGTCTGTTCTTCATCTGTAACCAAAATTACTTTTATGTAATTCAAGGTTTATTCAGCAAAATAACAGATGGAAAATAATATGCAATCATTGCAGCATCTCCTTATGTTCAGACAACAACAAGGTTGTCAGTGCTTCCATAATCCACTCCAATAGCTACCCATATGGTTGAGGTATGATTTATTTAAACGCAACTTGAATGTAGATAATTCTAGACTGAAACATATAATCAAATATTGGATGGATTAGTTATATATTATGAGCAAAAACAACCCTCAGGGTGAATTGTTATAACTTTTTCTGAGTCGTTAACTTTTCATTTTGAGGCATCATCGTCGGGCAACATTTCAATATTGTTCAGTGTTTGATTTTTTTTATAAATGACTTCAAACTAAAGACTTTCCCCTTAGCCTCAGCTGTTTTGTATAACACAGTTATTAGTATATTGCATTAGTATAGACTTTGCATGAGAAGATAAAAAACGTAATGTTGGGATTAACGCCGGCTAAAGTAATTGCAATTCACAATATGACGACCATTCATGCAAGTATGCATTGAAATGGTATATAAAAAAAGATAACAGGATTGTGAGAGTCTGTTCTTACATAATTAGTCGACAAGCAAGTTACTTTTTCATGTCACAATATTTACACTTGTTCTGATATTGGAAATTTGCGATGACCATCTTAATGTTGTTTTTTTTACCCACGCCTTCATTATTTGTAAGCATTTAGGTCAAAACTTCGCTGTGCAGCCTCACAAAGCTGCAGTCGTTTCATTAAACTTGTTCCAATGACTCAATTCAGTGATACAGGTTTGAAGTGCTTGGCAACAGATATGTATATTTAAAAAAAGTGTTTCCCGGACAGTCCTTATATTCTGTCATCCTGAAACCTAAAATATTCTGACAGTGAGGTGTAGTCAATATAAATCTGATGATTCCAGCCACGCATACACAAGATCATGGACAAAGAAGAAAATAACAAAAATCATATGATTATCATTCAGAGACTGATCCAGTTATTCACCAGCTGTCGAAACATGACATACTGCTATTGAATATCAATATCTCATAAATGGTCGCATCTTTAATGTTTCTTGTGGCCTACGGACATTTCTTACTGCAACAAAATCTTAGTTTGATGGACAAATTAATATTTCATTAGTTATTTGATTAACAAATTCATATTTCTTATTTTTTTCAGTATCCAATATGCCAGCTTTTTATGTTACTTATTATAATTTTCCTGGCGGCTGACATTTTTCAATTCCAGTTTTCTACAGGTGGTCTTAGTAAGACACTCAGAGGGCAGCTTTTACATGAATTTACTGACATTATTAATATAGATGCTTGTGCTCAACCTTTTAGAACACTTTATATTTGAAACCATCATACCGCTGGCAGATAATCTCTTTTGGCAATCTCACGAAAAAAGGGCACATAAATGCAATTTCAGGAGAATTGGTGTGACATAAATAATGAGTAAGCCCTGGCTCCCGGCATGTTTGGCCGTGTGGAGGAAACTGAGTAAATTAATTCCTCCTGCTGTAATTACGCTGTGAACAGAATCAGAATCACTTGATATGAATTCATACACCAAGTAGCGCACTGTAAATGTGGAGGAATGTATCCTGGTCACGTTGGTGCAGAGAACCAACCTTAGTTATTTAAACGTAACTACAAACTACAGCACTGATGTACAGACATGCAGGATAAAGTAAAAACATCACCTACACAGTACACCTCATCAATCCCCCTAGCATGGGAAACCAGGCAGATGAAAATGTTATTTTCTTTTAAATGTTCTTAAAATCTCCAGTCAGCTGTCTTATACAAAGCTTTCAATAATACAGTCAATAATTCATGTCGTGCCACTTTGTGCTTCCTCGCTCCTGGGATCGCCGCATTAGTTTAAACCAGTTGATGCCAACTTGGGGGCTGGGACCCTCCGAGGATTTCAAAGAAGCATAGGAAGGAACAAATATTTCTGGAACACAACATTACTGACTCTCCTTAATTATTATTTATTTTTAAAGCTAGGGCAGTATTACCTCTGGAGGTTTCTAGAATGAGTCTAAATTAAACAATCTTCGAAAGGATTTTCATTATTTGGTTGAACAGCTGGAAACTCAGGCGAGAGGATCACAAGTGAACGATTTTTTTTATCAGGGATTGTTAAAGCCACAAATAGTTGGAAACTGCTGGTAAAAAAAAACCTAGAAATCAACGATGTCACGCTATGTTCTCCGTCATAAGTTATTGCTAATAGGCCTTGAGCTGGTGAATCACGCAATCATGTTGTACTGAACTGCTAAATTCAGCTCCGATTGCAGGTGTGAGTACTTTTAAGTCAGCCTTCCCTTTGCTGTAGATGTTTGGTTTACCGAGTTGCTTCCCGCCACAAACACACAAATCACCTGCTCATCTATCTCTTTATATTCATGCCTTTGCCTTGTATACAGATTGGACTGGGCTGTCCCTCTGGCCTTGGCTCTTCAATCACCTCTCCGTTTCCTCCATCCATCCCTCCAACCTCCAATCTTTCCCGTGTTTTGATCTGCCCCTCCATCCCTCTTGCCTCTCCGTCCCTCCCTCTGTCATCGCAGAGAGAGAAATAAATCAACTCAGCGACAGCCGGCAGGCCCCGAACACCTGCAGAGTTATTTACTTCAGCGTACCTCTGATCCACTGCTGGATCCATAGGAACCAGCAGTAGCACTAACGCACTCTCCATATTCACACAAATGTTTTGCATGGAGCTGTTTAGCTGCATTAGAGGAGCTGGAAGCAGGTCTCAAAGAGCTCTCTCCCTTATTATTTTCTCCACAACCAGCCCATGAATTTTATATGGAGCACTCCCATTGCTGTCTTATCCTCGCCTCATTCTTGAAGCTGTAAGCCAACAACAGCTTGCACGCTCACGCGCACCATGCGTACAAACGTGCCTGCGCTCTCACACAGCTGGTATGTTTGATTTGTGTGGATATAGATTGGTATGTTTTTATAGTGGAAGAGAAGGTGATGGGAGGGTGGGGGGATAAGGGTATGGTTCTTTGGAAAAACAGAGTAAGGGGGGGCTGTCACGAAGTAGATAATCTTTCAGTCTCTAAACACAGTGGAACAGGGGGCAAGAGGTGGCTGTCAATCACGGTTAGGAGTCCCCACTGAGGTGACCCGGGTTATGAGGGAGGGGGGGGGGTTACATGAGATGGGTCAATGGAGGCCATTACACTTAAAAGAGGACTTCTCTCTCTCAGAATAATTGATTACTATTTTAGAGACAGTGGCAAAAAAAGGCATAATTGCCATGTGTAAGGCTGGTGCTATGTTACAACAAAGCATGTCAATATATTGAGCTAATCTGAGTGATGCTTGAGATGAGCAGAAGACTTGGACCTCTCAATATTCCATCTGGTGTGACACGATGTAAATAGAAAGCCACAAATGAGTCCCATTAGGGAACAAACAGTTACATAAAATAAGCAATTTGGTGTTAACGGTTGCAGAAAGAAGATACAAAATATTCTCTGAAATAAATCCAACTACAAATTCATTTATTTATTTCCTCAGTTAACTGATCAATTATATATTCTGCCAATTCATTTCCCCAAACTGTTCATCACTCTGCCAGGTATAAAATTGTTCAAATACACATACTATAAGCGGTACAACTTTATATTAAGGTACACAATTTAACCATCAACTAGTTGTTAATTAACATGCATATTAGCAGTATATTGGCTGTTTATTAGTCATTATAAAACACTTATTAATGCCTTATTCTACATAACCATATTCTACAAGTAATAAGCCATTAGCTGAGAGTTTTTCCTCAATAACTCTCTAATTAGGCCTTATTTATTGCAAGTAAGGAAGTTGTTGTACATGAGCTTTGGTCTTAATATGCTCTCCTCAATATGTCTAAATAACTCAAAATAAAAGAGAAACACAGCGCTCCGAAAAATACCTACAAATCAAACGTTCTGACTTTTCAAGAAAGACGGTCAACTTAAAAAATCGCTCGCAAATTGTAAACGATGCCGTGCCGCTTTAAAGTACACAAGTAGTACGAGGAACTTAGCGGCGCACATAAAGACGCGACATGGGGTCTGCTGCTGAAAAGTAAGGTGAGGTGTTACGTCAGAGAGAGTGGTGTTTAGTTTACAGCAGCCTGTGACTGCCAATAATAGTTTAAATGTCTTCCTTACTGTAAGCAGTTATGATAGAGCTGTTTGTGAAAGGTTATTTGTATTTTTTAGTGTTCATATAAAAACCACTGCGTTCTGCTCACTGGCGCGTTAGCCTAATAATTAAGTGTTAAGCACATCAGGCTGGCAGTTGTATGGGCATTGCACTATGATAGTTGTTATTTGCACATTTTTAATCATGGGTAATGCATCCTTAAATTGTTTAACTGTGAGGAGTTATACAATTGTACTGTACTCTGGAGAGTTTTTTAATGTAAAAAAGGTAAAAAATAAACAGCAAGATGGGATGTGCAGTACCAAATATGTAAAGCACTTTTTTGTTAATTTATGATTTGCTGCATACAGATGTAGCACTGAATTTCGGACTCCAGCTTACAGCTTCCTGCCTACGACCTGCCAAAGACCAGTATCTGGTCTTTGGCAGGTCGTAGGCAGGAAGCTGTAAGCTGGAGTCCGAAATTCAGTGCTACATCTGTATGCAGCAAATCATAAATTAACAAAAAAGTGNGGAGCTTTACGGGGCGTGGTTTGCAATCCGCCCAGCCAAACAGAAATAGGAACCTTTTTCTCCCACGAAAGTCCCTGCTCTCTAGCAGGGTCGGAAAAAGGTTCTCATGAACTCGTTTTAGTTCCAGCTCTTTTTGGTGTGAACGCGACATTTCTGAACTATATCGGAACTAAAGTGGGAAAAGTACTGCGGTGTGAACGTGCCTAATGGTGCATGAATAAAGAGTGTGGGAAACTTCTGATGGTATTTATGACCATATAAAAAAGCAATTATGTTAAGGGGAGAAAGACTTTCAAACACGCTCATGATGGTGGGAATAGAGTAATCTACTCTGCTGAACTGCACACATCCCTCATACTATACTATTCCTCCTGTGTGACAGAAAGGTACAACATTCCAAAATGATCCTTAAATCTAGATTCTAGGAGACCTGAAACTTTGACAATTAAATACATCTGTTAAGCACATTATTTCACAACAAACATAAGGAATTAAGAACAATTGGGCTCTGTTCATATCTTTGGCAATGACAAAACTTCCATACAAAATACATAAAGCAGAAGGAAGCTACACTTGATTATTAATTGAATGAATTAAGCAGATCTTAATGTATAATGCACTAAAGTCCGTTACAAATAACATTTACTTTTGACATGACCAATCTCAACACCACACTTACCACAACGGAGAGCTCTCCACAGGCCAGCAGCTGCACCAGGCGGGGCACCAGGCCGGCCTGCACCACCACCTCTATCCTCTCGTTGGAGCCGTCAGTCAGGTAGGACACGGCCCAACAGGTATCGGCCAGGATCTCCCTGTCATCATGGTGAAGGAGGCGCACCAGGGCTGGGAGCAGCTGCTGCACCGCCGCCAGAGGAGGGGCCGGGTTCTTGTTCCGACACAGGTTGGAGAGCGTCCAGGTGACATTGCGCAAGTACCCAGACTGGTTTGGTGGATTCAGAGCCAAGTGTTATTTTTCAAAAATCAAGGTGTCAAAACATGATAGTGATTGTAATAGATACTGACAACAGTTTATTCAAAAGACTTATTTAAAGAGAGAAACATCTTTATTGTCAGTTGTCCAACATTTCTCTCAAGTCCCCTCAAAACAAAACCATAAGGGTCTCAGGAAATGTATCAATCTATTAAACTGACCAATTTAATGAGTTAATGTAATTTTTTTCACAACTGCTATACTATAAAATCCCTGAAGGACATTTCTAAAAAAGGGCCACATGGCAGGCTGATAAGCCTTGTTGACAACAAGTGTGCCTCAGGTGAACTTAAAGTTAGGTCTGGTCTGTAAGAACAGGCGATCAAGTAATATTTGCAACTCACAGGAAACACAGACAAGTCAGGAACTGACAGCAAGGCGAGGAGTGGATTGAGACCGCCATCTTTGATCACTAGGTCTCGGTAGTTGGATCCATCACCTAGGAAAGACATTAAGAGTTAAAGGCTATTAACTGGACAATCACAACAGAAAATAAATCATATCAGCTCAAATAAAATTACAGTAAGTTACTACATGAGGTATTAGCATAACAACTATCATTTTCTAGAGCATTCTAGAGACTATCAACACCTCCAGACTAAACAAAAGGAAGCATATATGCACCCAAAAAACAGCAACAGATCTCCACATCAAATCTATCTAGGCAAGCTGAACATAACCGTGTAGGATGCTGTAATGGAGGGACAGAACTGAAACACAAAGAGGTGTTGAGTGTGGAAAGCATACAGTACCTGCAATGTTACCCAGGGCCCAAATGGCCTGCTCGCTGATGTGTGGGTGGGGGGATGCCACCAGGATGATGAAGGCAGGGATGGCCCCTCCATCCACCACAGCAGTGGTCTGGTCTGAGTTTCCTGAGGCGATGTTGGTCAGAGCCCAGGCTGCCTCGAATTGGATGGGGGGGCAATCAGACAGTGCCAGAAAACTAACAAACCTCGGGATGAGGCCGGCAGTAATGATGTTGTCAATGGGTGGATGCTTTTCTCTTGAGAGGAGCCTCCTGTACATCAAGAGATAATACAGTAATGGAATTTATAAAACAGAAGGTAACTTTAATGAAAGTCAAAGTCAAATGGGGCATTATAAAAATGTATTTAAGTAACGACTAGATGGATGCGGCAATTCAGTTCAACAGGTTTTAGAAGAAATTGATTTCCAATATAGCTATTAATAATAATCCACTTTATTTATGCGGCTTAAGAGCTTTATAAGGATGAGTTGTAGCACCTTCTGCTAAACACAAAGTAAATGTGTTAACATGTATTCAAATTAGAACCAAATATAAAACAAAGCACAGGTGGTGAAGTTGCTGGACTGTTTGTCAAAAACATCGGAACATGATGGAGCCCCGCGCCCCCCCTGAAATTCAAGTTGTTTAAAAAAATAAAATAAAAAATGTGATATATATATATATATATATAATTGCAACTAATCTATATCTACTGTCACTTTTCACATTGAACATGTGCTCTTTTATTAAATAAACTAAACACTTTCATTTTAAGTTGTGAGTTTAGTGTTTTTGACCCTAAGAAACACTGATGCATTAATCAATAACAATAATCCACAGCTCCTCTCTGCTCCAGAGGATTTCAAAAATATATATCGCTCAGACAGCACCCCCCCCCCAAAGCAGTAAACCTAGGGGAAACACTGTATCTGGAACATCGACAATGATTTACCTGGCTGCCTGCGTGGCCTGCAGCTGATGATCTAGATTTTGGCTGTTTATACCATCTACAATCTCCTCCACAGTCCAGTGCTGAGGAGGCTGTGAGAACAGAAACAGAGGAAGGTTACTTATCTGCAAAGTGAACCTGGTAAACAATTTTTTAAATATTTTCTTTCAATGTTTTTGATTTGTGTTTCTTATTGTGGGATGTGTACCAAACAAAGACTTATCAGCGAGTAAATCTCTGCAGCACCACAAATCTTAATCGAGTGTTCTGCGTTTCATAACTAGTTGTCCCCAGCAATATTGTTAATATACTATTCCATATTGCAATTTCGATAACATTTAGGACTCGTTCGGCCCTAGTAGACAAGGGAAGTATTTTAAAATGAAGTGGAACAACATTCACATTTGCAAAAAGACACTTTCTTATTGACCTTCGGCCACTTCCTATAGCAGAGCAAGCTTTAATCAACCTTTATGGTTCAATTTAAAATCAGGCGGTTTCTCTAGGTTACGGGTAAGTTGTTGGCATTAAGGCTGTTGTAACTCATTGCCAACTAAATTAAAAAACGTTTCAAACGTGGAAAAATGCTTGTATTTATATCAGGTGCGTCATGTTTTCGGTGCCCCGTTAAATAAAATAGTTTGCCATTGTGTGAAAGGAACAGCCGTAAAGCTGGCCAAAAGCAGCTGCTGTACCTGTGCATTGGGGTCTGAATCATGGAGAGGAGAGGTGGGCTCGTCCAGGAGGGTCTGGACGTTTCTCCTCTTCAGGATCTGATCATCCTTCTTCGCTTTACGCAGCTCCACGTTGACTTCTGCCCTCCTGCGCCTTAGATCCTGAAGACGCCGATATAACGATATACAGATATAATAAGTTGGACGGAATTTAATTTACCATTAGCTACCTCAATTATGTTACAATGCTGAATGTTTCTTGAAGAACTTACATTCACATCTTTCCCTTTGTTTTTGAACTGGGTGAGCCGATCTCCGTTGTCGTTGCCAGCTGACATTCCTGAACGTTAAACAAGACCTTCGATTCTAACGATTAGACACTCCCTGTTGAAAAAAATATAATGGACGTTAAAAACTAAACAGTCTTTACAACGGCTGATTTGCCAAACTCCCCTTCGTTCACTTCGTCAAAGCTAGCTCGTAGGAGGTAAATGAGCTAACGCTAGCACCCGCTCGTATTGAAGCCAAGCCGGTTATCTAACACCATGTGGCCCGTAGCAGCCTGTCCGCTAATCCAACAGCCAAAACCCCTCTGTTTTTCTAAAACCACGGTAATACAACCAGTTACAAGCAGAATAGAAAACTCGAAACTAAGGATGGAATTATACATTTGAAATGTAAATTTAGCCACAAAGCATGTGCGACTTGCTTACCTTAGAGAGATGGTGTAGTTTCTTTTTCTCTCTTTTTCTTTTTTTTTTTACAAAAGACCTGACGTCATTTATATACCTCCCTGTTTTTTCTGAGTTCTGATTGGACAGTCGGACCACATGCCCCGCCTCATCGCCCACGCTTAAAAAAAACGCTTCAAACAACAAAGCCGTTGTCAAAGGCAACCGCTGTTAGTATCGCGAGATACTATTTTATACTGGTTTTCATTGTGTACGGCCATGTATAAAATATATACCGTGGGTAACATTTTCCTTCCATAAAAATGTTTTTGTTCGTATCCTTGATGCTTCACCATACGTATAGTTACAGCGATTGTCTTGATACGGCATTTTTAAAATTGTTGTTTTCCACATCTAGCCACGTAATGACCCAGTGGCCTAATGGATAAGGCATCAGCCTCCGGAGCTGGGGATTGTGGGTTCGAGTCCCATCTGGGTCGTATTTAACTCCTTTTCAGGCTTAAGTGTGTCCAAAGTGGGATTTCTCAATGAATTGGATCATTTAATATAAAAGTGTCTTGGTTAATACTGCATCATCAATTGGTCCAATACCACACCGACTCACGCAAGCAGTCTTTTAGAGATTCTAGCCTGTTGATTATTCACACACCATTGATAAATGCTATTAACGGTCAAATTTAAGTCGAGTAGTATGGTTTTCTAGATTATGATCTTCACCTCAAAAATCAATGACATTGACCCTAATTCTGCAAATATAAACATCCACAAAAGTGCAATTTTAACTGTTCATAGCCTACTGTTGCTGAAATACATTAAATCTTAGGGCATCAGACTATAAAGCCTCAAGCATCTATTATTATATTCACAAAGACACAAGGACTAAAACTAAACCACACAAACGAACCTGTTCGTTGCACGTGCATGTATTACTTTGCACCCCTTCATATCATTTCCTGTAGTATTTTTTTTGTCTTATTGTGTACTTAAAGATAAGACATGCTGAAATGTGTACAGCTTAACATTATACAATTTAAGGGAAAAAAATAATGTTCTGTAGATAGTAGAAACAAATGAACATAGTAAGCACTAAACAGTAAAAGCAACTGAATTGCTTGCATGTTTCCAGGGTTCTCAGAGGACTGAGGGTGAAAGGCCAAAAGCTCTGTATTTTGAAAGTATTTGCCGGAAGTACAGGTGGGCCATAATTGCTGCATTAACTCTAGTTTGACCACAGAGTTTGACACATAGTCTGAATACTGCAACCTTTCGCCATGGCCACCAGAGGGCAGCGAGGTTTAATGACTACATTCAATTAGTTAATCTAACATAGAAAGCTAGTTTAGCACTACTGTAAAAACGTTATCAGCGCTCTAGCTCAACTACCCTATTTTACCAAGTGCCATTTAGCTTGCATGTTGCAGACATAGACTGTACATAAGTTAATAGACTGTCCAATACTTACACAGTAGCTCTTTCTGAGTGACGTGACACGCCCACGTAACGGTCACAATCAGTAGGTTAGGCTGTGTAGGCACCAGAATTTATAAAGCGCCAAAACTGCTGTGTTTGCTTTTGGAAAACATCGTGTTTTATGTTAAAATAAAGTGTTAATCCTTATTGTAGTTTTAGTTTAATTGTGTGGCAGGCTAGACTGGAGATAGGCGCCTTATACATATGCGTGGTCTCGGAGACTTCACCGTCCCCTAGAGGTCACTCTGAGGAACTGCACCAAAACAATTCGTCATCCAGCGTCAGTATAGAGATATAATCGCTTCTGCTGAGTACTTTCAGACTACCGATATTTTTTGTTTGTTTTCTTACCTTTTTCCCTCAATAAATATGAATTACTCTGTACTAATCTGTGTTTTTATATACTTTGTATTCTTTCTATATTAGGCTACAACGTTGAATGTTGTTTCTCCAAGATACAATAGTCTAGGACGGTATACTTTAATTTCTTTGACCTTTTTCTAATTATAAATTATGACTTCTAAAGAGCAATATACATGCAATTCAAGCCTCTTTGAGTTCTGATCAGATTGTTTTAGTTTGGTGTACTATATTTAGAAAGTCAATTCCCAATTATGCTAATGCATGGTTGTGCTGCAGTCCCTCACTGTGAGCACCAGAGAGCAGTGAAGACTCATTGATATGAGATGCACTCAGGTACACCTCCACCACGTTGCATCAAGGCTGGCTAATGTTAAAGAAGTTGCTATGACGGGTCGTGAACATAGACTGTATATATAAAGGTCGTGACTCGTGATTGAATAACTACATATTTCATGTAGCCACCAAAATGCCATCAATACGATTTTCAACAACCTGTTGAACACCAGATATCAAGAGGTGAACCTAGTTATCTTATATAAATAAACTTGGTAAACAACTAATCTAGGTCACAATTCCCCTCTTATAGTATAAACAACAATTTGCACCTTTTTCAAATCCATTTATGAATGAAAGGAGTGTCATGTCGATGTGTTTACTTCTGTGCTAGGGACGTCCCACCTCCATCTCCCTTTGCACCCCATCCCATCTCATTCCTGTGCAGCCGTATAAAGCCCCAGGACTCCCTCTCTGCTGCAGAGCTGAACGTGTGTCCACTGAACATCCACGATGACAGGCAGGATTATTCTGTTTCTCTTGTTCCTGGGGTTTCCTTTTTACAAGACAGAGGAGCATGATGTCAATGGTGAGTGTACTTTTAATTGATTGTTTTTGTATTAGTTTTACATTTTTGCTTATTCAGGGCAACATGATTTTCATTTGCCTACACACCATCAATGGTTGCCTTAGATGCTGCCTTCTTTTAAAATTATAGCTAATAAACATTTCACAGCAGCATGCTAATTGTTTACTGTTCAAAACTGTGGAAATGTGTGGCTTGAGATCTAACCAATACAATGTCCATTACATCAGTTGTCAACAAAAAAACTAGGAAAAGAAGCAATAAACCCAGGCAAATTTGTCTGCATAATTAGGAGGAAATATTACATCTCAAAACATCATATATTTATATAAAATGCTAAGTGAGTAATAGTTTCATAACTTTGATAGATTGTGAACTTTTTGGTATTTGGTTTATTTAAAAAAGAAAATATTCAAATATGAGCTGTACATTTTTATCAATTTATGAAGACATTTACACCCTACCAACCCTTTAAAAACCTCAATGAGTGTTATTCTCTGGAGCAAAATGTCAAGTTCTTACAATGAAAGCAACTGATAAACATGATAAAGTACTAACATAAATATGTGTATGTATTAATCAAGCTTAGGAAAGACCCTAAACCATTAAATATTCAAAGTTTCAAGGAACAGTTTTGCAAATGAAATGAATCCACATTGTTGGAGGTTACTGCAGGAGCACAGTGGCTTTTATATATATAACATTATCATAAAGCAACTTGAATGACATTTCTAACTGAACGTTCTGTTTGTGTCGACCCAGAGCTGTACACCCTGATAGAAAAAGGTCAGACCAGCTTTGTGGATCCGGCTCAGATCAACCAGACCCGGATGTTGGTCAAAGAGCCCTCCCTGCCCATCAATGAGCTTCTAGAGAAGAGCAGCAAAACCAGCGAGTCCAAATTCACCCTCCATCCTCTTCCCTCTGCTGTGTGGCCAAAGTACACTGACCTCGCTCCCATCCCCCGCCACCACGGCCCCCACAACAAGAGCAAAAAGGGCCCAAAGAGCGACCGTCTGGTGGAGCACAACAGTGAGAAAACCAGAGGAGAAGTTTCTGGTCTGCTTCCCAAAACCCAGCTGACAGGAGCTGCTGCAGCCACAAACCGCACTGTGCAGAAAACCTCCCAGGACTCCCAGTCCAACACCAACCCTCCCCAGCAGAGCGAAACAGAGGGAAACCCCAACACCAGGCCCAGGGGTCCACCTCACACACCACCCCAGGTTCAGCCGCACCAACCGGCCCCTTCTCCACGCAGAGATCCCCCCAATAGACGGCTGGACCAAGAGGAGAACCGGCCAGGGAAGTCCAGCCACTATCAGTCCGGTATCAGTGCATCAGCCCGGAACAACAGCCGGCCGCCTGTCGCCTTCAACCGGCGCACCTCCTCCAGCCTGCTCTACCATTTCGACATCCTGAGGCGAGGTAAGGGAGGATTTAAGGCTGACCTCTTCAAGTCAATTAATCGCTCATGTCTTGACTTGGATACCTTAAGTCAAGTTTTGTTGTGCTTTATTCATCCTTTCGCTGACTTATTTCCAAAAACCTTTGAGCCCATTTCTGGTGAACACAAGATTTAAAGTGGTGCTTTTGCATGATTCGTTGTGGAGGAACTCAGTTTTACACATCTGTCGATTAAGTTGAATAATCGATTAGTCTACAAAATCGTTTGAGTGTTAGTTGACCAAGAATTTATTTAGTTGAGGACATATTCCTTTTAATCTTTTTTTTTTTGTGGCTAAGCTGTATTATTTTCAAACTCACCTTTTAGGATGGCCTAGTTCTAATGATTGAAATTATTCAAGAGTTTATCCTTCTGGAAAAAATCTCTGATGGTCAATGTCATAGTATCTAAAACCAGAAATAACTATGACTCGTACCTAGAAAAGTGTTTTAGTATTAGTCACTGAAGGTAAACAGTGCCATTTTGATTTGTTCTAATGCAATATGTGTTTCCAGCAAAAGTTAATAGACGATTACAAAGAGGGCAAAGAAAAGGCTACAAAATACCCGAAAAAGAAATTATAAATATATACATTTGTTTTAACTTCAGTGGAAATAAGTCAGTCATGGTGATATTGTATACACTAACACGTAGAGGTCATACAGTTCACTCACAGTGTGATAATGACAGTGATGGTTTTTACCCTTCCACACCCCCACCACTAATTACAACCACCTCCGTCACATCTGGCTGTCAGTGTTTCACTTTGTGTGCAGCAAGGTTGTAATGAAAACTGATGTAAAGCAACTGAGAAGGCCCCTGATGTTGTAATTAAAATGGAAAATGCGACACGGATGTAATCCCATCACACACACCGCCTCCTGCAGTCCCATGCGCAGGAATGCGACGCCTGGGTTTTGTAATGACAACCATGTCCTTTTCTAATGATGCTGGAATGAGAGTCTGGCTCCGTACAGGCATGGAAGCAGACAGTCCCTCTTTCTTTTCCTCATCCCTCCATCCTGTCCTCTGCTTGTCTTCCTCTCCACAGAGTCTGACTTTCCACATGATGCCTTCTGCATGAGCGAGTGCAGGAAGGAGAAGGACGAGAGAGAGTATTACTGCTACAGTGAGTTTGGTATGTACCCAGCGAGACACAAAGATAGAGTTTGTCAAAGGTTAAAAAAAAAACATAGGAATAGCCTAAGAAGTATTGATCAAAATAAAGTTCAATGTTTTGGGATTTATTGGTACGTACGTACTGTATACAATTTGGTCAAATAATAAGTTTCAAGTCATTGCACAACAGTCCCAAGTCTTACATTTTAAGTGTCAAGTTCTCAACAAGTCATAACTCGCTCTTCATCCATTTTTTTGTCTTTGGAAATGGTGGAAAGTAGAAAGTATTTAAGTGAAAAGACTCAGGTCTAAGTGAAGGCTAAGTCTAAGTGTTATCGAAATCTTTTTGTGGAGTCTAAATTCATCATATGTGTGACTCGGGTCTGACTTGAGTCCACACCTCTGCTTTCTACTGCTTACACATGTAAGTTTGATACTGTATATAGCTGTAGCAGCTACACTTTTTGAGAATATAAGAAACTATTTAAAGGAACAGTTTGACATTTTGGGCTAGGGATTGTGAAGGTTGATCAATGATCACCCTAAATCATGTACAATAAACAAAAATCAACTAACACGTTAAATCTTGGTGTTTTTTTCATGTCCCTTTAACAGCTGTGAATGGGATAGTTCACGACATCGATGTGTTGCGTAAAGGAGTACGCCTCGTAACACTGATGGTGGGCAGTGATGGCTTCTACAAAATGAATCGTCTTTATGTGACGCCAGACAGCTTCTTCTTCAAAGTCCGCCTTCTGGTCCTGGACACTTACAAGTGCAGCAAACCCTGCCCTGACATCAAACTAGGTGAGTGTAGCAGGAAAACTCTAAATCCTCATGAAACAAAAGGATCGGATGAGATATATACAAGCTGTAGAAGTTTACCTATTAACTATACGAAGTGGCTGTTATTCCTTTCAGTGGTTTATCAAAGAATATAAAATGTCATTTGAATGAAACTCTGAAAATTATGGGACATATGTACAAGCATCAAGACAAATACATTCAATAACAAGGTCCATACAAATATTCTCATGTGGGATGCGAAAATTCTGTTTCCCTGAGATCAGACAAAGACATTTTGACGTTTTTTAGTGCACCCTTGAAAATTGATCTCTGCTCAACTGTACTCTTTCTCCGTGTCATTTCAACATTGTCCCTCTGATTGTTCCCCAGGGACCAGGTACATCATAATGGGCCAGATCTACCACCGGAGGCGCCATCTTCCCAGTGACCTCCTGAACTTACTGGGCAGTAAACTGAAGCCTGGAGACGGCCTCCTGCGAAGCAACCACTACATCAAGAGATTCAACAAACGGAGGCACCAGAAAGCTCTGGAGGCCACCCGCTCCAAGTGTAGGTGAACCAGCGATGGGACTGTGGCCCCCTGCTGCAGGGGAAGAGACAATGCAGCTGACCTGAACTGACCATAACCCACCCCTCAGTATTGTGCAAGATAGAAGAAGACATTTTGCGGAAGGCATGGATTTATCTTCATAGGGAATTGTTCATATATATTTTTCTCTTACTTTCCTGAAGTACTGATAGAAACAACTCCACTCAAACTCCTCATTCATTCATGGCTGGTTCATGAAGTCCCTGAATTTCAAAAACGATTAAATTAGTCGGCTTTTAAAGGAAAATTCGGCTCAGTGAATATCAGTTTAAAGAGAAAATCCTTGGTGTTTAACAAGTCAACACGTGTTTAACAAGTCAACACGTGTTTAACAAGTCAACACGTGTTTAACATAAGTCAACACGTGTTTAACAAGTCAATATGTGTTCTGGGAGATACACAGATCTAGCCTCTTTATTCTCTTCATAGCACATACAAAAATGCATTTTTCCAAATCCATATCTAACAATTGAAAACCCAGAGAGCTGTGACATGATCCTGAACAGAAAAGTATTTTAAATAACAAACAGACTGGCTTTCCAAAATAATGGCAGTAGCTGAGAACATACTAATTAAAATGTTGTACTTGTAAATCACATTGTACAAATACAACATTTTAATCATGTTGATTCCTTTGATAAATCAATGAGACTTCTACACTTCTTATCATTGGACATTTCGTATTGCACCGAATAGTATTGTTTTCTATCACTCAATCCCTTGCATGTTGTCACTGTGGTTGTTATTGTTAAGCAGGAAATGCACTATTATTGTTATACGGACCAAAGCAAGGGGATGAAGGGCCTAAGAAAAGCAGCGACAACCCCCAGAGGAGGAGGAGGAGGGAGGCGAAAGGGAGAGAGAACACAGGACTGTTGCTTGTCATGAGAGCGGCTTATTTTTCTTACTTTAATTATGTGTCCACGATGAAATATCTGCCTGAGTAGTCTGGGACATCAAAAGGGGCCTTGCTGAATGAGGAGGGGAGTGTGGTTGTAGGGACTAAGCCATAAATCTAATCACAGGAATCTGATCCTCTCCGCACCTGGACATATGACTTGGAAAAGTGCCTCCTTCACAGCTCCTCTTTGGGATGGCTTTTGTTTTCTTGCTTACATACAAACACGACCTCCTCTGGGAGGGCCAAAGCTCAAAAAGGGGGTATTTAAACTATTTGGGAAGAATCAGAAAAGAGAGAGACGAGGGGGGGGTGGAAAAGATGGTAGTGTAAAATGACAAAGTGAAAGGATGTTGACTTTCTGAAGGGATAGCTTCTTATTTAATCAGTAAACCCTGGCTTGATTGTAGTACGTCAAGAAAGGGAAAACTTGCACTGAACGCTTATATGGCTTTATTATACATAAACCCAATAAAAATGTGTATTTGTTTTGTATTCAACGACCCTGTGAGGATTTCATTTGTCTTTAAATCAACCCACTCTTATCACATACATCTGCCCACTGACCTACACATTGATCCTCATTCCCAGTGATTGCATGGGAAGTAGCCCCTCAAAAGTAAGACACTCTAATTGGAGTTTAACAACCATGGTCTCTTTCTGGCCTCCGGGAAGAGAGACGTACTTGGGAACTTGGACATGGAGGCAGGCAGGGCTAAGCCTCTTTTCTCCCCCTCTGTACGTCTGTCAGCTCGGCCTGGCGTTCCCAGGCTCGAGGAAGCCTCTATCTGGGATCAGCGCTGGAGGGAACAGATGCAGGCGGGCAGGAAACAGGAGCCTGCTCCACATCTTGGCTACTATCGCAGCGGGAGGACATTCCTCATCGCAGAGGATGTAAAGGAGGAGGGAGAGAAGAGAGAGGGAGGTGGGAATATCTCTAAGTGGCTTCCTGTGTGATAGCCCCCAAGCCACAAGGGGGGAGTGATGGAAAGAGGCGAGGCTGGTGGATTGAAACCACTCGGGGCTTGTGGCCATCTGCGGTGCTCGCAGCGTCCATGAGACTCTGGATCCATTTAGCGGTTTGAGTGGGGAGTAAAGAGGAGGGGGGGGGTGTTGGAGCAGAGTGAAAGGTCAACCTGGGAGGGGGCTTTTAAGTGTCATGACGGTAATTTGATCACAGGATGAGTTTGTATGAGTGCGTTGGAGGTCATGAGCTTATCTTTGTTCAAACACTTTTCTGTCAAAGCTCTAGATAAGTGAAAAAAGTTAAAAAGGGATGGAATTACCGTGTATGGATCAACTCACTAAGGGCCCCCCGGGGGGGAAGTGTCCTAACTGAACCCCGTTTCTCCCATTTTCTGTGCATTTTGAATGTAACAGTCAGTTTTGTCGTTGCGTGATTAAGTATGTATATTTAACAAAGCCTTGAAACTATATTTGAACTCAGGAGTTTGCCTTTTCCTCCAGGGCAAATTAAAAGTAATATTTTGGGGTACTTTAGTTTGTTTATAATAAAAGACAGTTGTAGAGTTGAGAAGAAACAGCGACGGAGACAAAATGGACGGCTTGACTAGAATTATGCAATTTCCTATTTATGTTTTGATGTCTATATGTCCATAGTCATAAAGCAAGAAATAATAGCTTATAATAATACAGAAACACACTTGAATAGGACAAGTTAAGAATGCTCTAAAGTGTAATTGTGATGAGAAAAGACATTGAAAGAAAAACACAAATCTTTTGAAAGCCGGTGTCAAAAACATTACTTTATTATCTAGGATGAAATGTCCTATCAAGTACAAAAGAGAATCTCTTCAGAGTTGCCACAATCAGTTAAAAACAGAGTACTTTTTATCTGCTGTTACATTTCCTCAACATTACTAAAAAAAAAACGGAGAACTTTTCATTGATATGAATAAATAATACAAGAAATGCAATGTCAATATAGAAGTTATGTTGAACTGGTTGTTTTCTTACAAAAAGAAGAAAAACTCTGTACAAGAGTTAACTGTCACTTTGCCCCGTTCAAAAACTTTATGCTCACAATATGCAGCAATTGTAATATAAGGGGGAATCTCACCTAAAATGTAGAATTCACTTCAATTAGAGAGAAAAAATAGACAGGAAAAATATACAGGCGGGCTTAGTTGCTGGTTCAAAGAGTGAAAAATAAAAGTTTCTACTGCTCTAGAAATCTGTCATCTCTACATATTTGAACAACCATAATATACAATAGAGATCACAAACAGTGGATGAAACACATCTTCATAAGATTACAAAGAGGCGGACATTTGTGTAAAAAGACACAAACAGTAAAGGAGACAGAAGCAACATTATCTCTCAACTCTGCAAAAAACGGATTGAATCTGAAATGTACTTAATTTTATACTGTTTTCAACAACTTAAATACAAGTGTGTCTTGTGACTGCTCCCCTCCTACAAAACTGATAATCACAGATTACAAAAATGTTCCCAAATATGATAAAAATGCAGCTATAAAATGTTCATACAAACCCCACGGTACAAAGACTCCCCAGTCCCCACTCAAAGTTTACTCCCAGACATGCTGCCGCAGACCGCAACATAACTGAGTTGATGCTGAGTGGAAAAGTCCATTATCCAATTACTTAACCATGCTTTGAGGGCGAGTTGAGAGACATGTGAGCCAACCTGTCAACTTCAATGAAATATGTTGGAAGAAGTGGCCGATAGATAAGGAGAGAGAGACTAACAGACTGCCATTGACAAACAGAGCTTTTGGAGGCAGGGACATGTGGGTTAGTTAAGTCTTGTTCATGTTTGACCTTCCCAGAAGCCCCAACATTCTCCTCTCCTTATGTCATTGATTTCCTTCATAAGGGTCACGTTTAATGGAGCACAGAGCTAGTTAACATTCTTCACTTGCTTTAAAAAAGAACACACAATGGTAAAAGGTCGCAGGATGTGGTGGGATGAGATGGCCTGTTCTGGTTGTTACCCTCTGAATATTAACATGGCAGCCCTCAGACGAAGCGAAGACCACTTAATTAACTCCAGGAAGTGCCGTCTACTGCCGCCTGTATGTGGTGATGCTAATCCAACAGAAAATGTCACTTTGACAATTTTTTTATATATCTAACTTCGGTTACAAATGGGGTTTCATGCAGAGCTTCACAACGGAGAATAGCCAATATAACTGGGTGTAGGTGGAAGGAAACGGTGCACCTGAGATTTGCTGCACAACGAGCATTTGAAAACTAAGACTGCATTAGAGGGCCATTGCAGTCAAACGGAAATTGTATTACGGAGCTCGGGGAGGAGAGTAAAGTCTCAAATGAACGATTTACTACATTGTGTCACTGTGCAAGGTTGGATAAACCTTATTACACCTCGGATGCTTCAGTAAACCGGAAATGCCTCATACACACGTTGGTGAGGAGGTGATTGAACAGCATTGAACCTCTAACCCTACAAGGGCTCTAAAACACCATTATGAAAACCCTTGTAAAAACTGATTTGGTTATTTTTTTCTCCAGTGGGGTATCGAGTGTGACAATCAATAAAATGCTGCTTTGGACCATAAAGAGGTGTTAGTTCTGAGAAGAATGAACTCTGAGGTACTGTACATGAGTGTGAAGCATAAACTGGGGGTTTTCATTTTGACCTTATGAACATTTCCACTTGAGGCAGGGACTAGGCTTCAATGGGATTTCACACAATGAAACACATCATTGAAGGTGTGACAGGATAAAATAAAAGTAGCATCTCTGACACTTTGCTTTATAGGATACGTACAAATAGTGATCAGCTACAGAAGTAGAGTCTGCTGCTGCCGGATGTGCCCCTGAACATCCCACCAGCCCACACGTCAGCGGTATCTGCGCTCTCCATCTGGAGTTTGGGATGCTCTGGTAGGAGTGGCCGTCCCCCCTCGTCTGAAGGTGGTTCTTCTCTGCCATTTTGTCCCAATGGATGAAAAGGGGCTTCTCTCTCCTCTTAGTGGAGGTGTTGGAGGTTGGGCGCTATGACACCAGTGCGAGCAGATTTTCCACAGGGAGCGTGCTCTCCTCCAGAGAGGGCTCCGGTTCAGATGCAGCCCGACTTCGACCGACGGGCTTAATCATTACGAGGAAACCACAAGGCTTGTCTTTTTTGACACTTGAATTTTTAGGAGAGAGCTAAGAAGCTGCTGATTGTAGTTTGTTGTTATGAGACCTACAGAGACAGGCAAAGAGAGGAGGAAGAACACTGTTGGAAAACTTATTGGTGTTTCCTTTTTTTTATTATTAAAAGCTTTACAATATGACAAAAATATGCACTAGGGGAAATACAAAAAAAACTAAAACAAACAAAACATGAATTGGATGCCAATGGGTCAAACACTTTGACATGGACATGGAGCAGCCATGTTGGTGAAATGTTATCGAAGTGTTTGTGATGTCAGCCTAACAGTGTATGAACAGGGACTTTTTTTTTTAACTGGAGACCGTCAAGCTTGCCATATTTTGAACAGGGAAGCTAAACCTCATTTTTCTCGAATCTATCTTTACAGATCCTACCATTATTTCCTTTAGAACATAAGAATAGTCCTTCACAAAAAGATATAATATGCACATAAAATAACATTATACACAGCCAATAAAAGAACCTAAGAAAGAAACTGTTGCATGTTTTTTAAAATTCCCGGCTAAGAAATGAGGTAAAAGTGTTCTGCTGCAGCGTGTTATGACCAATACTATAAACAGTCCTGTCAAATTAAAAGATAAGTTATCTGTGTGTGGAACTGACGTCACAATCAAAATCAATAGCTTTGTGTTTTTTTCAAAACTGAATCTCAAGAAAGAGAATGACAAACTTCATATTTTGTCTTATATCCCACTCAAACATAAACAAAATACCGCTCATCTGTTGCAAGAATTGTAAGAAAATAAATGTTCCCTTGAATGCTTTATGTTACCAACATGGCTGCCATTATTAGACAGTAGACACTTTTTTTTTTTTTCTTCTAAAAATTAAAAAAAGGATCACATCTTCAGTCGATATATCCGTTTCTTACAAAGAGTTTAACGCTGTTTTAAACAAATAAAAACAGCAATGTCCGGGATAACAAATTATTGTTTTGTTTGTTTTAAGAGTGACCCCGGCACCCAGGAGTTTGACATCACAATCTGTAAAAGAGAGAGAGAGGGAGAGACAGAGAGGGAATGGATGGTGTAAATACAGGCGGGTGAAGCACAGCACATCACCAGATAAGGCACACAGATGGATGCAAACCACAACAATCGACCTTATCAGAGTGTTAACTATTTTAAAGAACAGCAAGGCATGTTAATGAAACGTTTTGTATGTAAATAAAAATAAACCTGATGCTAAAAACTTGCAGTGTGCATCCACCTACAGCAATCACATCACACAGCGAGGGCAGTGGAGAAAGTTCACATTTGATGATGAAAGCCGAAGCAGATATGTTTTTATGGGTGGGAAATCAGCTGACTGGAGGCCGAATGAAAACACAGCTAACATGAAACTGAAGAGGATCCAGGGTGTGAATGAAAGCTTATACTGTAAGATCATAAAGTAGGGAGGGTAGGGAAAGGCATGCATCACGTGCAGAGCGCTAAACAAGTCAGGCAGGCTTTTAAAATAGAAGTATATCGTATATTTCATTCTTGAAATGTGACTGTGTTTCTGAATCAGTGTCAGTGTTTAATGCCAATTGGTGCCAACAGAGCATGCTGCTTGTGTAAGCATTCAGTCATGAACCAAAACGGAGACAAAAACATGATTTTAATGTTTAGAGGAAGCACAAGATGGTGTCCGAGGAAATCAAAGAGAAGAAGGAATCAATAAACTAGCATCCGACACTTTTTATTGCTCTCTTTGGAGAAAGTGTGTATCCACCCAACCTCCATGAAGGTCAGAGGTCAGAGTTAGCTCTGCAGCAGCACAGCTGGTGCTGCTAATGAGGCTCCACTTTATTCCCTGACCCATGGGCTGACACTGCCTCCCTTTTTATTAAAGTCAACCGCTGCCATTTTTGAGTTTCTTTATCACTGCTCATCGTTACTATCCCCGTCTTACCTGCTGGCTTTGAACCCTTTGAGCTTCTGGACGAAGAAGGTCTCCAGAACCTCTGCACATTGGTAGAAGGGCGAGTCGCTGGGGTTGTAGTAGCGGCAGTTGTCGAAGATTTTGGTCATGTCCGCTACAAACTCCGTCAGCTTCACGTACTTTCGCTTCTGTATCTTCTCCTCCATGGTTGAAAGGTCTAAGAAAATGGAATTTGAAAAATGTTTTTGGTTGAAGATTGTATGTGAACAAAATCTATAAAAACAAACTACTCATTCTAATTGCAAACTCTTGCCAGGAACAAACACCACAATACGAGGAAGCAAAATATTATTATCTGACTTTTGTAATGGACTTGTTCAACAAATCAGCATGCCTGCTTCAAAGTAATTACAGCTTTTGTGGCATGTGTTTGACAGACATTCAAATATGTTTCCTGGGAGCAGTTTATCATTTTATATGCGACAGCAAAAATCCCAGACATCTGCCGGTTTTAACCTCCATCTATTCAGCCGCTCTGATCAGCTACTGAGATCCGACCGATCCGTCATTACTGAGCAGATCGTCATTATCAGAGTGTCAACTTAGCGCATCCAAGTCGGGGTCTTGCTGAAAAGGAGACTTCAGTGTCATGAACCAGGTTAAATCAAACTGTAAATAAACAAATAAGATAGAGGAAGCAAACAGCCCGGGCTTCATATAATCCGCTGTTCCTGCCCGTGGTTTGCTCTGCACCGCGTCCTTGGGGCTGCCTTTTAAACATATCACACTCTTAACCTCCTTAACCCCCACCCAGCTGGCCAACCCTCATGGTCAATATCAAAGACCCCCTTCTTCTCTGTCATCAGATTTGATCTCAAACTCTCCAAAAACTACCAACGGTTGCAGCTACACCAGCCAAATGCTGCTTTTTTTTTTTTTTTTAAACCAACAAGGTCTTTTTCTTGCAGTGGAACGGAGAGGGGGGGACTGAAGTTTCCAGGCCGGGCCAACAAGAGCTAAGTGTGGGGCAGCTCCCTTTCCACGGGGAGCCGGCAGACCCCGAGCACCTCATTAACGGTTTGTTTATGTGGAAGTTCAAAAAGGCCCTGCTGACGCAAGTCACCATTTACATGGCCAGTTTGATCTGAGTTGGAGGGCTTCCTCCTGGAGGCTGGGTTTCAGCGTTAGAGATACACAGGCTGGAGGTCGGTTCCAGTAACCTAAAGCAATTAGGCAATGAAAAAAGCAATACTGAGGCTGTTTCATCTTCCAAATAGGGATTTCCCACAATCCCAGTTTTGGTAATCTGCTGAATCATGAGTCATTATCTTTATGTTTTCCTACATTACAGAGCCACAAAGTGCAACGTTAGAAAATATCAACCTTAAAATTGTTAGAACGAATCTACAAAAGACACTTGACTTTGTAGAGCTCAGAATGCAGAAAAAATAGAGCAGAGTAGAAACACGTCTTCCTTTTAAAAGTTGGATTATATTGTGTCTGAAACAGAGGCCAACCGTTAAAGCAGCACTGCTCCCTAACCCCACCTTCGGGAATTATTATATTTTCAATGTGCCACTCAACAGCTTGATGGCTTACAACTATGTCTTTAGTTTCCCCATACATACCAACAAGCTAGTTTTTAGCAAAAGCTAAACAACTACATTAACCTACAGCCACAGCACAGACGTAAATAAATAAATAAGCATGACATAAATCAGCCTCAAAATAACAATGACATCCCTGGCAAAAAAAAACATGCTGAAATATGCAACAGTTGTATGGCACTTCAGTTTTGCATAGAGTTTTTAGTTTTCCCTCAGTGGGTCAGTGATATTCCGAGAGTGCAGTGTGAGGAACATTTCGTATGTAAACAAATACATGCGTTCAATGGCATCGAGACTACAATAAAGTGTCCAGAGTAGCTGTTGACCTAAAATGGTCTTGACTGGGAACTTCAAGACATTCAGTAATCAAGCTGCTGTATTCACTTTGGTGTTTGTGTGCTTTTACCCATTCCCTCCACTCACCCATTGGTTCCTTGATAACCCTGTAGTAGTCCGGGGCGTCGTTTGGGTCCACTGGCTCCAGGAACGGCCAGGCCATTTTGTGAGCCTGCGGAGGAGGGAGGGGTCGTGAGACAGAGATAAAGAGAAAGACAAGACACTTGAGAAAGCTGAAACCAATGAAGAAAAAACAAACAGCACCGTGAAAATGACACTGGAAGCAGGTGGGTCAACACAGATGTTCCCTCTTACTATCTTACTATCTGTCTCTCTCTCTCTCTCCCCCTCTCGCTCTCTCACACATACACAAACTGCTGCAGAGAGGAGAAGAGGAATGAGAAGGAAGAGAAAAGAAAGGGAAGCTAGAAAAAAAAGCTGAGGTCAGGCAGCTGTCCAAGTAGTGCTCCGGGGAGCCGAACCCATCAGATAAGACGCACACAGAGGACTTTTGTTTGCTGCTCTTACACTGTAGTGGGGCGACGAGGAGCTGTGTTAGTGTTCTAAGTATTTATTGTAATAACTACCATCTTCAGCTACCTGTACAGCGATATAGTAGAGAGTAAACCTCCTCTCAAATCAGTTTACCTACTATTTCTGTTTGCAGAAGAGTTACTGTATCTTTAGGGTCAGAGGTGAAGAAGAAGAAGATGGAGCTTTATTAATCCCCCGAGGGGGAAATTCAGTTTCCACTCTGTCATACACGCACATGCGGTTTTATACAGGTACATACAGTACTAGGGCTGAACGATATACCGTGTCATGGCGATAACCGCGATATGCGCGATATTCAAACCACAGGGACGTGCGATTTTATAAAAAAATCATTTTTTTTAATTTATTTTTTTTAGGACGTGCGATATTAAGTAGGTACATTAACTCAAACACGTCATGTTACAATTATTTTGCTGCTTGCTTCAAAAGGAAAACTTGCACGGCTCTCATGTCAGGGGTACTTGAGTGAGTGACATGCAGGCTCTGCATGCAAGGCAAACCACCAACACAATCATTCTTGATCAGATCACAGCAGCCCCCGCCCCGCTAGTTTGCAGACCATCAAAACACCGGTAAAAAATGAGCGAGGCACAGGAGGACAATACCGGCGAGCATGAAGATTTACTTCCAAAAAGAAAAGCAACATCTGCCATCTGGAACTATTTTGGATCCAAAAAGGTTCTTCTCTTCTTCATTCACAGATGAACCCCCTTATTTGAGGGTAAGCAACATGCATTATCATGACATGTTAGATCATGACTTAAGGTATGATGAGTCAACCAGTTAAGATCCAGATGTCCGTGACTAAAATCCTGCATCCGGTTAAATATAGTTAAAAAAACGCAATATATATCGCAGGGGAAAAAATATCGCAATGTCATTTTTTTTCAATATCGTGCAGCCCTAATACATACACTATTTGTTTGAGTAGGCTTTTTTCAGAAGGTTGCTCTTTATGGGCAGTGGTCTACACATGTTCCATCAGTATCTGGCCCCAATACAGAAATAAAAATAGACTGTGTACATTAAAAAGAGGATGAGGAGAGTGCTTAAGGCATTGCATGCACATCAGGACTTGATATGCTCCCCAGACTAATAAAAGACAAATCCTCCAGAGCACACTAATGTGAGCCCCATTATTGAACATGAAGATTAAAATCCACACAGCGGAATGACCCCTACGCATGGAGCCAGAAGACTTTTAAGGATCATTTCATCCTGGCATATTCCCATAAGTGGCTATTGAGGGTCTTTGGGTGATACAATGTTTGCACTCGCCACTTTATAGTTGTGCAAATATTTCTCTGTCAATTGATTCCAGTTGGCTAGGAGGATACTCTCTGTTTTTCTCAGGACCAGAGCTGCATATTTTGGACTAAAGACTCTAAGTTTAACAGTATGCTAAACAGCAATGGTGTCCCTCAGAAGCTGACGCCTGCATGTCTCCTACACATTAATGCTGTAGTGGCTACACACAGGATCCTATTGCCCTCTGAGTGGGAGTTTGGTCAGTCCTTCCATGCTTCTTAACCTTCTGTATCTCACAACAGCTCATCAGTTTTCAGACAGTGCCCTATTATTCTTGAAAGGAAGCTGACAGTGTAATATTTCCGACATGGGTGCAGCCGTTTACTTTGATGCTGACAAGCACCAGGCCCTAACTTTGCTCTTTCAGCAGAGGAAAGGAATAGGCAGCTTGGGACGACCAGCTACGTCTTAAGGAAGCTGAAAATATTTTTTAGAATCAGTTCCTCCTACCCTGGCTATGTGAAATGCTCTTCAGTTAAACTTCTTAACTTGGCCTGTATAACCTTGAATAATGTGTAAAAACTAAAAGGCAAACATTGTATACATACAGCAAATACACTGTACGTCTGCTTGCATGAAAGTGAAACCCTGTTCAGCACGTATAAGTCATGAGTTTAAAGTCATCTACCCATAAAGAGGAGGGGATTTATTTATTTTTATTGAATCGTTTATTTGAATAGGGACAATGCACATTAATGAACACTTTAGACAAATAATGCTTCAAGTGTAAATATGCCGGATTTTAGCTTTGAGCTCATTTCCATCCGTAGTCCCTGACATACAACATATAAGAACATGACACTGGCATGGAGCAGTGGGAGATCATGACTTATATGAGCTATCAAAAGCAAGATCACAATACATTATGACTGATTAAGGAAGCAAAAACAGGCCCAAGACCGGAGACTAAACAAAACACTTCAACAAAGAGCTGATAAGAAACAAAAAGGGAGTCACACGGTCCAAACGTTGCTGACGCATAATGAGGAAGCATGGAAACATTTCAAATATGCTCAAGCCATGTCAGTTTGGTGAAGCCCAAACATGATATTGAAAAACAAGCCACTGTTTAAAGACTTACCTCATGCTTCAAGGGATAAGGCCAGTCAATAGCTGAATCGGCCTGTATTTTAGCTATCTATGTATATCACTTTTTCCATCATCTGTTAATCTGTAATGTGTTTGTGAGTGTTAGTACCTGAGCCTAGATTTGGAGAGCTCTGGACCCTCTTCATGGGAGAGAGCATGTGCGAGCTTTTGCGAGAGCATCCTCCGCTATCTGAGAAATCACAGCCAGGCAGGTGATGATGGCGGCAGAAGCAGCAGCACACATGCACATGCAGATAAAAACACAAATGCGTAAATAAAAACAGAGCCAAGGCACATGCACTTAAAGAGCCCGGATTTTACTGAATGAGCTCAGGATATGTGTTGAAGCTGGTGTATAGCACAAGAGCAAAATATGATTGTATTGGATTAGTTTAAACTTTTTAATTGGGGGTAATTTGCATTTCGAGGAGAAAGTATGGATCTGGCTAAAACATTTTTTAAATCTCTGTTTGCTGCCCTGGTGACACACTTTGGAAAGACCTCGATCAACTCAACGTTGGTAAAATAACTTTGATACTCTTTTAAAAACATTCAGTTGGTGCTTCCAAACATTTCATATACTAACACAGAAAATGTTGAAGTCTGTAAAAAGCTTAACTTCAGGAGCAAATGTTTAGGTCAGTTCTGTACAATTTTAAATATTGGACAATACACGTGGTTTAAAAAATGTGTGTCAAACTGTCTAACTGTGGTAGTTTTAATGCTTGTCTCAACAAAGCTATTCATGGGCCGTCCTCTATATTGTAAATATCACTACGGTGAGTCAGGCATCCACTGTGGTGTGTGTGGAGAAGCCTCAAAGACGGATTACTCTACATTGATTCTCCGGCTGTAATTCACACTTTAGCTCGGGATGACTGCCAAGTTTAGGACAAAGCTTTGGGAACATATTGAGGGAGAATTACGTCACTGTGGTTATTAAAAGCAAACAGGGTTACTATTCTTATTGATGCTTTCAGTCACAATAAACCAAGCCAAATATATGGATAATCAGTGATGTGGTGAAACAGGGTCAGGGTTAGGTTTATAGAAGCATGCCTGGGGTAGAGCAACACTACAGACATAGCAGCGTTTAAAATAGCAATGTGGTCTCTATTGTTGAGTGTGAAATGTAAACAATAGTTTGATGTTCAGTTAATTTGTAATCAGGAAAAAACAAAATCCATTGCAAAAATAAAAAACATAAAAATTCAGCTTAGAAAAACATTAAATAATGGACATGGACTGGATGATTCCCCAACAATCTCATACAATGTGTGAGCATTTGTGTACATGTATACATTAATACCTGTATTCATATTGAAGAGGACTTCTTACTGGTCTACTGCAGGGGGACACACTTTCCTGTAAAACAAAAACAAAGTATTTCAGACAAACAATAAATATCCAGTAACTTGTTTTAAAAAAACGATCATCTTGTGACTGCTACAAGAAATAAGTAGGTGTTTTGGATTATAAAAAAATCAATGTAATTCTCTGTGTTAAAGGTGGGGTAGGTAATTTTGGAGAAACCAGCTCGAGTGCGCTAGAATTTGAAAATACACAGCCGGAAAAAATCTGCCACTTCCTTCCTTACTTTCCTTCCTCCTCCAACACACACAAACGCGCACATGACCAATGAGGGCACAAGATAAGTTTGTGCAGAGATGGAAGGCTGACAGGCAGGTAGGCCATCCAATCATTTTAGCTGGGCCGGCTAAAATGATTGGTCATGCTTTTTACAGTACTACAGCTTCCACAGATGAATTTTTTTATGGATTTGTTGCAAAGCACTTCAGATATTCATTGCTATCGGGATGTTAAGAGCATTCCATGGAATATAACAAAAAGTGTATCTCAAGCCGGTTTCTCAAACTTACCTACCCCACCTTTAACTCTTTGTCTCCAATCTCGAAATATAAGCATTTATTTTTAAATTCTTGCAGTTTCCTACTGCCCACTAGATCATTAGGAGGACTTTGATCAAATCACAGTACTTAAAGAGCCAACATCTCTGTGCAGGGGAAGTCTGGGGAGACAAATGATGTTTAGGGCAGAAATGCTGTGTGCTGACAAGCTGCTGTTAACTGCAAGTCAGCTCGGCCTACTTTCACACATTTAATTCCCATTCTGCAAAAAACCTGGGCTGAAGGCTAAATTGTGGACTTCCTGGGCATGCACATTGACAAAAAGGGAATTAATTGAATCGTTAACTGCCTTAATGAATTTCCAGCCAAAAAAGAAGAAGCTGAAAACATTAGATTTTGCCCACAATGAAAAGACTATCTCTCAGTGCCAGTATTTCGTTTTTTTAATAAACTGATGTCTTTTTTCAGAACAGAAATGCAATTCAAGTATCTGCGTTTAGGTGCAGCTTTGAATGATCTGTCACACAGTCTTTTAAATACATTTTCAAATCAATTCAACACATACTGCCTGTCATTTTGAAAATATGTTTATACCAACGCCTAAATCCATGGAATCTCGATGTGGGAACATAACGTCTTACAGCTGAGGGACATAATGACTGTAGCAAATGCACCCAGATGAAAATAACTCAAATGATACACAATACAATGTTTACTTAACTGTGACCATATGTAACGCATGCCTCTTGCTATATGAAGACCTTTTCTAGGAACTGTTGCAATAGGTATCATGATTGATGTGAATAGGGCACACATCAGAAGCCAAAGCTGAACACTGACTGTTGCATCGCAGCATAAACGCATGCAAACGTGTGTCATCACAGGATTTAAAAAGTATGAGAGATACTACAAGAGACAGCCTTCAGTGGCTGCAGCAGGGATCATGCAAGTCTGGTATAAAAATAACTATAACATACACACAGCTAACCTTGTTTCACACACGCAGATATTTTTGTGAAGTTTTGGGAAGTGATGTGAACTAGCTGTTGTAACTCTTTATCGACTCTCAAACATACGGTTTTAACACATACAGTTTGAAAATGTGCTTATCAGTGATTTAGAGTGATATTAATAGTTGGTCATACGATTTTTCCATGGAATTTTCTTCTGTTAATCTTTCAGTTGCCAGCACTGTATAACCATATGTTCAGTTACCATAAATCAGAGCAAATACCCAATTACGTGCAAGTACAGGCAGCACACCCATATCAATTGGGAATGCTCTTTTCAATACCTTTTCTTTCAGTAACTTTGTTTAGCAGAGGAGGGTTAAATGTACAGATAGTTTGGCGGTGCCTTCTTCAGCCGAGTGAGTAAATCTGTACAGAATATGTCCCACTGCAGTATAACAAGTCAGAGAGTACGCATTTCCCAAGACATAAAGGCAGTGTCAAATTATGAAAGTTCAGTTCAGGTTAGATTTTGGTCGTGAATTCACGTTGAATCCTGTTAGAGATCTGCTTATGAAAATGCAACCAAGGCAACTCTTGGCCTCATTGCACATTGACAAGTAAAGTCCGGATAATTGTGGCAATCACTGAGAGGGGCTTATTTTGGAAAAGGTATGCAGTCTTATTCTGCCATGAATGTGTAAACTAACTGAGCAGTTGGCTCTTGTGGTGAGTGGCACTGGATGAATGGCATACCATGTATTTGACCACACACAAAAATGTACATGCATCCAGTTGGTGTTTTTGATTATGACTCAGAATACATATTCTCACTTTAACAACGTTGTGATACTAAGAACACATTTATACATTATAATGACATACCAGTATCAAAAAGCTTCTGTTGCAGCTTTGCATTTCCACATGACCAACACATAGCAACAGTTTAGAGCTGTAGTTTATCATGACTCATTAGCATTAGAATGGATAAGCATAAAATGTCCTGAGCGTCTTCTATTTATCTCAAGATACTTTAAAGACGAAACAAAACAAAACATGCCAAGTAACCCGTCTCAAGATTGTTCTGTACGTTATATGTTCATGTTGTGTACTTTGTATTTGTATCTGCAGCCTTTTGTTTTGCCAAAGCAGTGACATGAGCATTACAAATGTCTTACTTCTAGAAAGTGTTTCCTAGATATATTGAGGTGCCTTTGGGATCATTTCCTGCAGTTTAAACACATAACACTACATCTTTGCAAGAGCTCTTCAAAAACAGGTGTCACTTGTAAGTATTGTACATCATCCTCTTACAGGAACATGTCAATAATAAACATATCCAACTGTAAGTAAACTATATTATTTACTTCTACAGAGTTCACAATGGTGACTGTGAGGAGGAAATAGTATGACTTGTGGTACAAGCCGTGCACCGTGGGATACTTTCAGCCCCCTGAAGACCTAACCCTCGCCCTCATACAGTACACCCTCGTAAATCTATCTCTGAAAAACACACATACACACAGATGCACTGGAGTAAATCATGGGTCTGGCGTCACCGGCAGTCGCCGTCCAAATGATGGTCAGATTATAAACAGGATCATGTTTCTTGGGGACAGATCGGCGGCGACACAGCAGCTGTGGCCGTGGTGTAATGTTATGGCTGGACACTTGAAGAAACCCCGCCAGGCTCTACACCTCCCAGAAACTCTCACTATCTGCCCAGGCCTGTTTAAGCTTTTAATCATAAAAAGAGCAGCACTCTCTAAAGCCGGTGATAGATCATAAGCATGCGTATTGGTAAGTATACACCAAACGTTTCCATTAGGGAGTGCTTCTCTAAGATATAGTGCTTAATGTAGTGCTTACAAGTAGTGGAAATACATGTTTACGGATCAAACACTTGTTATTCTACCATTTCTAATAATGATCAATCCATCCCCAGAACTGTCCTCTACATTTAGTTTTACTGTATGTTCAACACATGAAAGATAATGAGCTGAATTATTGAATAACAAACCTTCATTTCCAAAGAGTTGTTTTCAGTTCTTGCTCTTGTGTTGCTGGCAGAAGGCTTTTGGTGTGTTAGGATTCTTTCAAGTAATTTAATTTTTTGACTTTGCAGCGGTTTATCCACCAGCTGTAATTTAGGCATTGGTAGGCCACTCTGAAGACTTGTGTGTGTATAATTACTGAGTGCAATAACTGTGGGACTGCAACTACCCAAGTCAGAGCTTTAAGCCACAGAAGGCAGTGACGTCCAACACCACAAGCCCATCAAGTCTCATTAGTCTGTTAAGTGACCTACTGGGACCTATTCAGTTTATCTGAGAGGGTTTGAGCCTGACACTGTTTTAACAACAATAGGTTGTAAGCATTTGCTTCGTTCTTTTTTATTAGGGGAACATTACCATTGATTTTAAACTCAGCTACAGACATTTTATATATTGGCATCCTCCCCTTGACAACATGAACATTTTCCAAACTGGAGAAGTTAATATTGTTGACCTCTAAAGGACTCATGTAGACACAAATCACGTGTTACTGACAAAGTCTCAGTGAGTATATGGGAATTTCCACGAGTAATCAGTCGCTCATAAAATGTTTGTGTTGACAGCACTTAGATGACAAAGCAGCACTTAATCAATGCCACTAGAACTAGGTTAAAGCATAGCTTCAAATATCACGAACCATTATGCCCTATGAACAAAAGGAAGGTCATTTGGCTGGGCCCTTGTATTTTAAGAAATGTCCTTAAAAAGCATCATAACATGAAGAAATATTTAACCCAGACAGGGTAATGGAAGCACATAAAAACATTGTCCACAAAGAGCCCTGGCCGGGATGCCATTAGTCAGTGGCAGTTTGCCGAGGCAGAGACAAAACAAGTGTCTAAAAACAAATGTGTCAACATCCTTCGATGAGAACATTTTTAAATTGGAAACATAACATCTTTTTCAGTCTTGTGCTTACTGGACATGGGGGATGTTAAACAACAAGGTCTTACAAGTCTATTTGTTGTTCACTTGATCACTTATAAATCTTACTCGATACAGAGATTATTACTTTTAAAAGGGTGCATTTATTCGGAAAATGGACTCCAAACACTAAATAAGGAAGGAAATAATTACTTACAAATTAATATATAGAAACATATATCAATGATTGTATAAATAATCAAATAAACTCCAAAAGGATTGAACTCAAAAGAAAAAAATATGAGTTTGCTTGTAGCCATTTCGTTTTTTTAAATCCCATGTGTCGATTTCATTTAATTTACTTTCAGATTTACATTTCTTCTCCAGTGTGTGCGCATGTGTCACGCGCGTGAGGGCGGCAGGAGAGAGCGAACAATCATTGGAGATAAGCCGACTATGGCTTCAAGGGTCCTGACCCTGAAGTGGTCACTCAGACTGAGACATACTCACAGGATGTCAGCAGATTAAGCTCCTTAGCAAATCTATTTAAAGACCCAACAGAAAAGTCATCAGATAGCCATTTTATGTTTAGCTGTTCTATACCAAGGATTATCAGCCGTTGAAAGCTT